TTGTATCAAGTCAAATTCAATACGTCTTATCCTTTGGACAAGGAGAAGGTCCAAGTTTCGCGTCAGGTCTTCCACGTGCCACGACGGAGCAATTTTGTATTCGTGGAAGCGTTGAAGCGTCTCAGAGGCAGTGACGCAAGTAATATGCACGACGAAGAACCTGCAGCCGATGAACTCGAGTTTTCGGATGACGAGGCGGAAGCCGCATACAAGAGTAGCTTGAAGCGAAAGTGAGGGTGATAATCCAGGTGGCCGAACTCTTACTCAAGCTTTTCTTCAGACGAGAATCGCGTGCCAATTCTGTTGTTTCTTCACGACAACCCTCACCATCGCCTACTTTGATGCGTGATCAAGATTTGGCCGCTTTCGATCGCAATCCGTACGGAGCTCATAGCGTCTACGATGCTGATTTCGGTGCTGGACCCTCGAGACCCGCGCCTATTCCTTATGATGAAGACCCGTACTCCGACGTCTATGACCAGCCGCCTCCGGGATCGTCAACACTGAGCGCATCATCTACACTATCTTCACGACCACCATCACGAGCCGAACGAGAAGATGGGCGGCCGATAAGGCAGAGAGGGCGAACACGTGGCTCCCGCGGCAGACGAGAGCGTGGCCGTAATGGAAATGGCGGGGACCGCCAGGCATTCCGGGACCGCCCATCCAAGTATCAGGACGGCGATCGGCCCTTCGAGCCTCAGCAATACACCCAACCACCTCCTCGACCGCTATCTCCCACCTCCATGGCGATAGCGCGTGCCACCGGGCAAATGCCCGATGGCTCCAACTTCCAGACCGGGGGCTGGAACCAACAAGCTCCTCAGTGGTCAGGATATAGTCCCAGTCCGGGTCCGGGTCCTGGTTTCGTGCAGCCTCATATCAATCCTCGCTTTGCGCAAGCGTTTGGAATGGCATATTCCCATCCAGGGCCATTTCAGCAGCCGTATTATCCGATGCAGAATACTGCATGGACTGGTGCTGAAGAATGGACAGTGCATGGCACTGATGAAAGTAATACATAGCGAATATCTGTACTTATCTAATTTGTGTCTGCTTGGCATTCCGAATCTCTGTTCATGGCGCCTCCCATCGCTCACTCATGTCTAGATCTACAACTTCTACCGGGGAGCTACTTTGTCTCAAAACTAGAGCCAGGACAGTTCAGGGAGACGATGGATGCCCTGTTGGAAGTTGGAGCTGGCGACTCGCCGTTCTTGTCTGTCACTCGCACACATGAGGAACTTTCAGTTGTCGGCCTATACAGCGCAGGCATGCCCATAATCAAATCAGAAGACGCGACTTGGCGGGCCATCAAGATAGCAGGGCCAATGCCATTCGGTGACTATGCCCATTCTCGCGCAACAAGCGGTATTAGGTTTATCATCCATATTCTAGAACTGACGGGTGTCCTCGCTGGTTTTGTCGAACCTCTGAAGCGGGCCTCCGTGCCTGTCTTTGCTCTCTCTACATGGTAAGAGCCATTGTTTCCATCGCGAAGCAAATGCGCAAGTGACCACTTTGCAGGAACACCGATTACGTTCTGGTAAGCCCATCCAGTCTGGATCGCAGGCGCACTACATCACAACATGCCTTCACGACAGATTCCGAAGAAGGACACAGACACTGCAATCAACGCTTTGGAGACGGATGGCTGGGTGTTTGCATTAAAATGAACGCAGAACATGTCGTAAGTGATGAATATCCGTCGATATGAAATCAGAAACGGGGGCAATATCCTCCCAGGTTCAGAGGACAATGTGATGAAAGAATGCATGTACTTCTGAGGAAGAGTGGCTTGCCATTGTCGATCGGCTGCACACTGGACCGTCATTGATTGAGCACATTGAGACACGTGACTTTTTTGGACTGGCCCTGCGAGGTGTCCCCTTGACCTTGCTTTCTCCCAATCTTCTCCTGTCGCTACAATCTACCCAGTTGCACCAGGCTTCCGGAGCAGACTCAAAGCTCAGGTCCTCATCATCGTCATCGGTCTTTTCGGCAGAAGAGAACCTGCAGCGGCCAGAATGTCATCAACCCTGGCCATGGACGATAACGAAGCGTCTTTGAGAGCCGCTTCAGGGTTCTTCCCTCAAAAGCGTGTACAGCCCTCGCGCATTCGTAGGGGTGGACCCGGTGTTGGGAATTGTGATGTCGACATGATGATACTGAACTTCCAATCGAATAAATGTGCGACATCGAACTCAATGTCCTTGCAACGAGCTAAATGCGCCACTCTAGCGGACGGAGACCCAATTATCCCCTCAAGAACACCCTTTTATTTAACCACGGACCCCACTCTCGGACGAATAGCCACTCAGTTCGCTGGGTCTGCGAGCTCGAGCTCGGGCATCAGCCTGCCTGCCCACGAGAGCTATTTCGACCGCCCAGAAGTCATCCAATCGTACAGGGAACAGACTCTCATCGAAACCCCCGAGTTCAGTAGGATAGACGAACATATGGTCGCTGCACGATTGCGCCGAAGCAGCCACGATGATGTTCTTGTGCGTCCTGCACCACGTCTCCCCCATCGAGTGCTAATTGCAATACAGGTGCATGCGGCGGATGATAGCGTTTATGAGAAGCGACATAAAAAGTATGAGGCTTTCGAGAAGCGGAACCGCCTGCGGGAGCGAGAGAAGCTCAAGCACGAGCAATACAAATTGAAGGAGAGGATAGAACAGCTACGGGCCATGGAGAACTCGGCATTCCTCGCTGCACCAGATTCTTCGTTCTCTCCTCAACCTCCAGACGAAGAGCTCGAGAGAGATCCCGATCTTTTGCCATTCATGGGAAACACCTCCGTTTTGGAGGGCGAGAGAAGAAGGAAAGAGATGTTGACGACAGCGGTTGCGCTCGAGGAGCGGTATCGGTTGCTCCTCCCCCCCGATCGTGCTAGAAAGGCACTCAATGCTTCCAATGATGGTGAAGCTGACCTCGCCTACAAAGATTCCACCCGACCGAACGACGAGATGGAGATCTGGGAAGGCAGTCCAGCTGCTTCCAAGCTGCCTACCCGTGTGACCTTGAAGCTCGGGTCAAAGTCTGGCAATTTTACACCAGGCATCGCTACACCCAAGTCAACGTCGCCTTCGAAGAAGCGACGGCGTAGCAGTGTGCAACCTGAGGCAGGTTCATCAAATGTGGTCAGCGACAACTTTCAGCTGTACGATCCGGAGGCGGCGCAAAAGCACCGGCGACCGCGAAAACCAGTCAAGCGACGCAAAATGGACGAGGACAGCCCCGTGTCTGGTCTGGAGGAACAACCTGACCACGAGCCCTTCCAGTTTGTACCACCGCCTACAGAATTTCTCCGCACGTCTTCATCTTCTCTACTCGACTCTACTTCGCCAGAATCTCAGGAGATCGACATGCTACGGGTCGTTCCGTCGCGTGGGAAGGGAAAGGTGGTGCGAGAGTCTTCGGCACCGCCCATAGAGGCAATCGTTGGGACATTCTCTCCAGTTCGACCGGCAAAGCGAACCAAGGGTTCCAGTTCTGCAGCATTGCCGCTGCGTTCTATTTCCCGCAAACGTGCTGGGCAGAGGCGACCGTCAAAATGCGGCTTGGTAATATATGCAGAAAGAGCTTCCAAAAACCCGCGTCAGCTGCAGCAAGCTCGGCGGCTCGAGGCTTTTGGCTGCAAGCTGCCTAAGATCCTCGAAGACCCTTACAACTTTGAGCTACCCGAAGAGATTTGCAAGCCGAATATTGCAGCTCTTCCGGACGATGACATCGACGCTGACGAGCTCGAGGATGATGCTTTGAGCGACGACGCTCTTTCGGACTTGGAGGATACGACAATGGACTGTGCCGATCCTGGAGACGACCAGGATGAAGAGGTGTCCTAGGCGATCCAGATCTTGATTCAGTCTCATACCAGTTATATTCTGTTGTTGTATTGGCTCTGGTGAATTAACCATTCCATGTCATGTAATTACGTAAGGGACAACAGATTAGATCAGACTAAATAATTCGCAGCCCAAGTCACGTTTGCTTGTTGAGCAACGCCCACCTGCGACTCCTCTCCATTCTTCTCGTCGCCACAGCTATGAAGAGAAAGATTAATCAAGCCTCCGGTGGAGATGAGGACTCTTCGCCAGCGAAACGGCGCAAAAATATGACGCGAAGGAGTGCGAAGTAGGTGCTCGTGCTCCTCTACCATTTCAATCTCTTTTTCATCGATCTCCGTCTCAGAACTTCAGACCTGATAGAAGCTGGCGGTGCTGCTCAAGAAGATACGCCTGCCGTGGCAGACGAGCCCATGGCTGTAACTGTCGAGCAGCAATCAACCAGGAAAATACAATCGGCCAAGCAACGCGACGTGCCTGCCAAATGCCAGATCATCATCTACGCGGAGCGCTTGGTCAAGAATCCCAGACAGCTCAAGCAATCTCGTCGGCAAGACGCGTTTGGCGTGAAGCTTCCTGATATCGTCGTGAACGACGCGTACGTGTTCGAGATTCCCGTTGAGATTTTGTCGCCCGATGCTCTCGAGGACGACACTCAGCAGAGAGGAGAGGACGCTGGCGAGCAAGGGATTGAGGATCATGCGGCTGCCAGCGAGGCGGAATCAGAGCTCAGTGCCGTCACCGACAGTCCATCTGGATCCGATGAGCAGCAGGCTCCCGACGCAGCCAAGGAAGGGTTAGAAAACAAGCAGGAAGCAACCGTACAATCGAAACCTTCAGCTCTCACACGCCGCCGTCCCGCTGTACCATCGCTCGTCAAATACTCCCAGAAAATCCAGAAGAATCCGCGCCAGTCGAAGTCAGCACGCCGCGCCGACGCGTTTGGGGATAAACTGCCAAAGGTTCTGGGCGACAGTCACGATTTCGAGCTAGCCGAAGATGTTCGCCAGCCCAAGAGGAAAACTTTGCAGCCGTCTGCCTCCGATATCGAGTCGGAGGAAGAATGATTCGGATGTGAGAACTTGGGTTGCTTTGATACCGTGAATTCTTGGCCCAGGGAGTGATTCTTGAAGAAGTTCGCGCTTAGTATGACACGAAAGCAGGTTTATTCGAATATCATATGTATTACGCAGACCAAGTATTCGCGATTTCGTGAATCTCCTCGCGTTTCTTCGCAATGATATCCTTGCTGTGAGCAGAGGCTACTGCTGAGTGCTTTCCTGGCCCAAGCTTCGCAGCAGCAGAAACAAAATGCTGGGGGCTTTTCGCGGTGAAGCGTGAATAGTCTCCACCGACGGTCTCGAGGAGTGTTTGACGATCTCGGGAAGATGGACGCTCCTTTAGGAAGAGGCGTTTGAGGTTTACTCTGGCGATTTCGGGGCCTTGCAAAGGAGCCACTTCAATAACATCCTCGCTCATCACCCACTCTTCAATCTCCGGAGGGTACTTTTCCATGTCAGAAAGTGAGTCTTTCCCAAATTTATCCTGACGCCGCGGGCGACGTGGTCTCCTTTCTTCGCCCTTGCCAGGTCCTGGGAATCTTGTCCCATTGGAAGGTTGATCGCCACGAGCAGCGGCGACTCCGCGCGGCCCGCGCGGTGAGGAGGGAGGGCGCTGGTGCCCAGGCGTCTGCTGTGGACGAGTCCCTTCCCTCGCCAGTCGTGCAGTACGCCGTTCCGCGCGCGCTTCCTCGAGGAGTTGCCTACGGTGAGCCACCATATCTTCACTAGGCTCGGCCTCTGGGTTTGTGTGAGGGGTGGCGGAGGAGTTCGGCCGAGTGGGCGTAGTAGCAGCGACGGTGGGAGCAGACGGCGCTAAGTTTGGAGGAGACCGCTGAGCGGCACGCGCAGCCCGTTGCTTGCGCTCAGCAGCTTCACGGGCAACACGTTCCTCAATCCGTTGTTTCCGCCTTTCTTCTATCAGCGCCTTTCGTTCTTGAGCGTATTGATCCATTTCCGGGACTTGATACTGTCGTGCAGCTCATGTTAGCACACATTTCGCTTCTGTGCGCGTGACAAACATACCTCAGCAGAGCTTTGCACCGTGAGCCGACTGGCTAACGAGCCCACTTGGGGGGAATCCGCTGCGGTCGAATTCCATCGAATGCCCTGGCTGACGAGCCTCGCGACCTTCGTATACGGTCGCATCATGAACGAAAGCAAAAGTTTGACAGCCACACAGCATCATCGGCATTGAGCCGCCATCAACTGGCTTAACGGCTTCTCTCTTCAAGTCCCCCATGGCAGGACTCATCGGGCGCCTGGTCGTCAATTTTGTTCTTCTCCTCATCTCCTTCATTGCTTATTCTTCGCAAATCTTCGTTGTATGGCCGTGGTACGGCAGAGTGGTGTCAATTCCGTTGCTTGTGCTACTGGTGCCGTTCAAGTAAGTGCGAGGTCAAGACGCCCTAGTCTCGTACTCAACCATCAGCCTCCTGGTTGGCATGTTGCTGTGGAACTACTTTCTCTGCGTCACTGTCGACCCTGGACATGTTCCGGACAATTGGAAGCCAGACACGCAAGCGGATGGTTATGAGGTCAAGAAACTGACGGGAAAGCCGAGATACTGTCGGATGTGCGAGAAACATAAACCTCCAAGAGCGCACCACTGTCGCCAGTGTAACAAGTGTGTGATGAATTCATTCTGAAGCGCTCTGATTTAACGAACGCGTCCTACAAGATGTGTCTTGCGGATGGGTACACTCTCTTTCCGTCTCGAGCCGTGCATCTGCTTACTGCCTCCAGACCACCACTGCCCTTGGATCAACAACTGTGTCGGTCACTTCAACTACGGCCATTTCATTCGATTCTTGTTTTACGTTGACCTGGCGTGCGGTTATCATCTAGTCATGATCTCGCGGCGAGTGTATCTAAGCATGGGAGCTAGATATTGGGTGAGCTCGTCCATCCGCTCACATCGGGATTGTGCTAACAGTAGAGCAGGACGAGCCCGATAGTACAGAACTCATCTTCATTATTCTCAACTATGTCGCTTGTGTCCCGGTCTTCATGTCCGTAGGCGCTTTCAGGTGAGATTTTGACTTGAACGCAGAACGTCTTGTGACTAGAAATCAATGCAGTCTGTATCACTTCAATGGCCTCAAAAACAATACGACTACGATTGAGGGCTGGGAGAAGGACAAAGTTGCCACAATGGTGCGCAAAGGCAAGATCCAAGAAGTATGTGGTGATTCTGCCGTTCTTTCCTAGCACACAACTCAACCCCACGGTGTTTAGGTCAAGTTTCCCTACGTAAATTTCATTCAAAGTTGCTCCAATCTTTGTTGATTGGCTCGCAGAATGTAGGTACACGCCGGAACATCGAATCCATGCTCGGACAGAATCCATGGTTTTGGTGTTGGCCGACTTCTCCTCCTGGCTCTGGACTTAACTACGACCTGACGGAGAACGATGGTGAGTGGGTTGAGCTCTCACAGCTTCGAATGAAACCACAGCACTTGGAAGTGTGACGGTGAGTGACTTGCCAACAGAACTGTCTTGTTCTTACTCTTGATCAGATTCAGTGCTGACTGATGGATTCTCTAGATGCGGAAGCAGACGAGCAACCGAGATGGCCACCAGAGGATCCCGACTTCATGCCACGGGACGACCGATTCAAGCTGCCTGATTCACCATGGACTTACGAGAATGGGAGCGTCAATCCGGATCTGGAACCCTCGAACGCTGCGAGGAGGCGCAAACTTGCCAACGGGGCTTCCGCGTTACCACCTTACCATCCTGATTACCGACCGGCCGACGACACCGAGGCCAGCGAGTCCAGCGACGAGGATGAATACAGAGAGACTGGCCGCGGCGTCAAAATAAGACGCGGGTCGGAGGGTTATGAAGTTCGCCCTGCTCAGCGAGAGGACATGCTCCAGAGGTATCTTGCCGAGTTCGGCGAAGAATCACAGTCGTATCATCGATATATACCAGAGGACTAGGCTAGGCTACCCAATTACTCCATCGCTTTCGCTCTCTCGCTGATCTCGGCCGTCTTGTCAAGCGCCGGTTGAATTGCTTGCTGCAGACTTTCCATTCTCCGTTGAATGGCACTGGTGTACTTGAGTTCCATAGCGTTGAGTGCGGGCACAATCTCGCGATCGATCATTTCTTTGACTCGCAACTGGGTGTGCTCCATGATCTCTGCGGTCACAGCAGGCTGTATCGGCGCGGCCATCTTGGCGAATTGCTTCCTCATCAGAGTAAGCTGAGTCTCTCGCTGCACACGCTGTTTCTCGAATTCGTCAATCTGGGCCTCGAACTGCGAGAAAATGAGAGGAAGTGTGAATACATATGTTTCCCGACAACGAGATAACCGACCCTATGGATGAACGTTCTCCGTCGTTCTTTTTGAGCCCCGAGATCATCGATCCGCACCTGCAAATCGGCATTGCTTTTGATGAGTTGAGCAACCAGCTGTCCTGCCTCTGTCGATTTGGTCGCAGCCGCTTGAATGGCTTTGTCGAGTTCTGAACGGGCGGGATCCTCGACCTTGGCCTTCAAGTTGACCTGCATCATCTGCCGAACTTTCCCGCTGATCTCGTTCTGCCCCAGAGACTCGTGCAATTGATCGTCCAGCCTTTCCAACTTCGTCTCCAGTGCTTCCGCACGCGTGACAATCTCTGCATATAGAACTTTGGTCGTCTGGGGAGGCGATTCTGGCGGATCGACAAGCATGGCATCGGGCTCAGCGGTACTTGAAGGCGGTTCCATCGCGGGCGTAAAGCGCTTTAACCACGTCTCAACGATTCCCATGTATCTTAGCAGCTCGTCCTCGGCAGCAGCGAGTATCGGTCTGGCAGGTGGCAGGTCTGGCAAGCCCAGGAGATCTTCTTTTGCCTTCTGGAGCCGCGGCTCCATGACGGCCAGCCTCTGCGAGAGCCTCTGCGAGATTTCGTTCAATTGCTCGCCGGCAGATTGTGAAACACGCGAGAAATGTGCCGATTTCTGGGTGACGCGCCATCGCTTGAGTTGTTCATTTGCTTCGTCAAACTCCATTCGGATTCGGATATAGCGCACGGTGTTTCTGGACGACAGTGATTCATCAGAGTGATTTTTATATAAAAAATCGTTGGAAGTTCAACCTACCGAACGATGGCAGTATGGATTTCGGATCTCGTCATTGGCCGCGAACCAGGAACGAAGCGGGTCGGAGAAAGGGCAGATATAGGCGTGATCGACAGAACAGGAGTCGGGAAGGCACTTCCAGGGTCGGCCAGTATCAGAGGGACGGTTGTATCAAGTTGCAGGTCCTGCCGACGTGAAGGCCCAGGTGGCGGGACGTGCTGGTCCTCGAAAACAGATTTCTTGGAAGGTTGGGGAGTAATCGAACGCGTTCTATAAGCCTTCGGAGGAGGAGGCCCATCCCAGTGTCCAGAAGCCGCTTTCGACGCGTCGGGCTCCGCACCAGCCCAGACATTGTCGAGTCGGAGGCCTCCCGAGACATTAGACCCGCTCGCGCTCCACGAACCTCCAGATCCCCATCCTCCATCGTCACCACTGGTAGAGACTGCTCCAAAAGCGCTGTTCCCTGATCCAGTGGTCGGTGGGGGCAGTTTAGAGGTGCTGGCTTGGTTCATAGCAGTGCGATGGGAAGTGTCTTGCCTTTGGCGATTTTGAGAAAGAGCTATGTTGTTGCTGGATGTGAGATTCGGGGGATCTTCAATTGGTCTCCAACTGGTTGAGTCGAAGTCGTCGTGATCTGGGCGTCGCAGGTCGCGAGTGGAGGGTCCTGCGCGACGGCTGTTGCTTTGATCGTCGCCCCGGGTCTTGTCCGAGCGATACTGTACCACGGTATGGGCACAAATGACGATGCAAAGCTGCATCTACGCACCGAAGGGTCTGAAAAGGCGGGGCGGTCCACACTCACCATCTGCCGCCGTTGTGCAGTTCTCCACTCGTCTTGCCATGGATGAGAGTAATAGCAAGTGCCTCCACGCGGTTTACAGCCACCCAAAAGCGGATTTCTATCGTCGTCATACCACTTGGGGAGAGGTGAGCTCTCCCGAAATGCTAGTAAGTAGAGGCTGATTTACCATGCATCGCACGCGGGAGGACATCGTGGTCGGGATGACGGGATGATTAGATTAGATTACATTTGTTACAAACAAAGACGGCTGGAACCACAGGCGACTATTTATACAGGTCTGTCTGCGTAAACTTTCCAGACTAAACCACCCTTCTCTCCCACTTCGATGATGTTTGAGCCTGTTTGAAGATCGACCATCCAATGTCCTGGCTGCTGCTGCTTTTCCGAAATGAGCAGACCATTTAGCTTGACCTGGATCTCAATAATCTTCCGATTCTCTCTTTTGACCTCAGAAGCGGCTTGTGCACTCTTCCCTCCCTTTTTCTTATGATCGACATCCATGGCATCAGTCTCTTCCTCCTCGTCCTCGTCATCGCTGCTTGCGTCGTCGCCCATGTATGCAACGTCCGAGACTCTGATGCCATTCTCACCAGGCCCCAGACGCATGACCCAGGTCTTCACCCCATCTCGATGGTCCAGCAAAAAGGGTCGCTTACACGGCTCGATCGTCAAAGAGACGCCTTTGAGCATGTGACTCGGTGGGATTGGCGGCGGAGCCGGCGAGTTCGACATGGACATCGCTTGCTTGGGCACGGGCGTCGGCACAATTGGCGCTGGCGTTGGTGCCGCAGGACGGGGAGCCGGCGCCATGATGGGCGGTAGCGCTGGTGGTGGCACAGGGTTCGGCACTTGGACAGCCACTGGCGGGGCCACGGGTAAGGGAGTTGGGGTAGCCTTGAATGTAGTGGTGATGTATGGGGGAGGGGGTAGGGCTGGGGCAGGTTTAGGCGTAGGTTTTGTCGCTGGCGCGGTAGCTTGCGTCGAAGGTTTGATCATATTCGTCGATGGGAGAGTGTTGGGAGGCAGTTCCGACGTGTCAGCCTTCGCCGTAGGTTTTGGGGGTGCCGGCGATATCGATTGAGTATTTGGCAAAGGTGCTGGGGCAGCCGAAGGAGTGGAGACCTTTGTTTTGGTAGTCGCGACCTTCGCAGTGGGGACTCGCAGCACAACAGACGGTGCCGGAGCGGTTGTTGTCGACGGTCCTGCTGCCGTGGATGCAGCCGGCATCTTGAGCTTGATCTTGGTGGCGGAGGGCTTCTGGTATCTGGGGACCGCAAAAGCAGGAGGAAGATCAGTCATAAGCTGACGGAAATAATCCTGCAAGAGGTTATCAGCCACAACACACAAGTCCAAGGTGGCTCGTACTCGTAGAGACAAGGCGTCGTTCCAGATAGGGCTCCCCTCCAAGTTGAATTCCATAGCGTTAGAGAATACAAGCTCGACATCGTCTGCAAAATCCGCCATCGTATGATATTCTTTCTTTTTGATGCGTTTCTGTTTGAGCAGTTGAGGGCTCCACAAGATGCAGCAAGAACTGGGGATCTCACCATGATAGCATCCAAGCACTCAGGCCGCTTGATGAGCACATAGTACGATGCCCAAATCTTCTTGTCAGGTAGTGTGGTGAATATAGGGGACATTACTCGACCACTGCAAACGCTCAGACACGGCGACAACTGAGCGAAAGCGACGCACTCATCATCTGTCTTCTCCAAGAGCTTCTGCATCCTTGTTTTCGCGAGCCTATGCAAAGAAGGTGGCCGTGTGTCCTCATCCTCTGGTACCAATTTATTGTAGGCCTTGTTTGCGATTTTCTGCGATGATTTTCAGCCACACTGCGGGTTGAATAGACAATGTAGACCCCACGTGAAGTTCCTTCGCGTCAAGCCATATCTCGCTGTCCTGTCGATTGTATGTCTTCGCATTATCAAAGCACAGTTCGAAATCCTGGCGGACGGCCTCGAGAGTGGGATAGAAGTTGGACTCGAGCTGTTTCTTGATGTCGTCGAGTGCAATGGGGTGTTGAATGAATTGGTAGTAGTCCGGGTAGAGCTTCTTGGGGGGCTTCTTCAGGAAAGCGATAGAAAGAACTCGTCCGCTACGAGAATGCAGTCAGCGTCGCAAGGTGGATGAGCCACAATGATCGAGGGAAGCCGCACTCCTTGTTCGTCGCATCCTTGACCGTGTTCCAGATCTTCAGGCCCTGCTCCCGCACTTCGCCCAGACGCGCTTTCACGCGTTCCACTTCCGTAAGGGGTTCGACGACATCCTGATCAGAACTGGGCATTTCCTTTCGCCGTTTCGCTTTGGAAGACTCTCCTTCTCCTCCTCTGAGCTGTCTCTTCATGATATGCGTAGCGAGTCGCGGTGATCGTGATTATAAGGGGACTGCAGAGGCGATATAGGTGGTATGTAGCACAATGCACTTCGGACTTTTCGGCGATTGTTGCGAGCGAAGCGAGCAATTATCCACTAAAGGCCGTCAGTTCGCACTAAACAAGTACAAATTCTAAGCAGCACCATCAAAGGGCCACTCTTCGAGTGGCCTCCTTCGTGCGTGTTCAATTCTGCTCTTCTCTTTCTAGGAGTTGACATTAATACTTTGCTAAACCGTAAAATCTCCCATCTCCACTCTCAGGACGAAATATGAGGAATTAGTCACAGGATCGCGGCATTGTTATTCAAAGCTCGTCTTGCTTTGTGTTCACCCAATTTCCTTTCAATTGTTTTGATAATTTACATGGGCCTTTCAACATAGATTATGAATAGATTACTCAAGCCTCCGCCGGCGGATATGCTTTTGAAGGGCTCGTCGTTGCCACCATCTATGGCAACCAAAGCCATCACATGTTTGGTCGGCAACTGAGTGCAATCACGTGTATCACGTCTAAATCACGCGCACCCGTCTTGGATTGATTTGCCACTGTTCTCTTTCCGCGGCATGCCAGTTCCCTCACGCATTCCTTCTCTGGCTCCTGTTCACCAGCATCTCACCCTCCACGTACCAAGACTTGACCTGAACATAATATGCCGTTTGCGGTGGGTCTGACTTTTGTCAGCCTATCGCAGGCAAGGCTCTGACAGACATAGCCCTTTTCGGGCCCTTCGATTATTCCCGTGTTATGTAAAAATTTAGGCGGAAAGAATATACAGCATCGACTAGACGACTGGGCACGTAGATATCCAATGTAATTGATTGACTTTGTGATTATTTATTGTGCTGTCTTCTTTGCGAGCACCCAGCGCCTGTGCGCCATACTATTTTAAACTAATGCACGTGATCTGGATAATAGTCACCAGCTTCTGGCTTCCAGATCGACTGGGCGACAGTGGCCCAGGAGACGGTGCTTTGCAAGTTGCAGACTTCTCGGAACTAGTCAATCCTGTTTTACAAGCCACACCTCCATGGTCGTTGTGCGTGTATATTACGGCTTCGCTGAGTAATGCTGCACAAAAGTACAAATTACAGACAAAGGCGTTTACCATATATGATATATGTATCTAAAAAATCAATCACGAATGAATCGAGCGACTCGAAACTCTTGCATCCGTCTCCTGGCAGAGCGCGAGTGGTTGCTAATGGACCATGAATGCAAGTACCCGGAAACGACGGTGCACTCACTTCAGACCGCCGTCGTAGGCCCAAGTGGCGTCTACCAAGTCCTGCTTAGGTCTGACAGAGTATTTTCTGATGACCGAAGCTCCTCCCGGCTGGAAAACGCGTCACAAGATCATTGATTTAAGCAGCGCAGTGGACTGACGTGTTCACCGAGATAGCTGGTAGCATCGACGAAGTAATCGCCAACGACCACCAGACATACTCCAGCTTTGGAGTTGACATATTCATGAGCGCGGGAGAGCTTCCAAGCTTCGCCAGTCCAATCAGTCTCTAGCTCCTCAGGGGGAGAGCCGTGTTTGTGCTTGTAATGCATGTAGTCGGTGGCTTCTTTGAGATCCTCTTCCCTGACACTTCGAAGGCCGTAGACCAATCCAAGTGAATGTAGCAGACTGATGATCCATTTCGATGGATCCCAATTGGTCAGGTGGGGGCCGGAGCGGTAGTCATGAGGAAACGAGTGCTGGATGGCATTAGACGACTGAAAACAAGGCGCCTTCAGACTCACATGCTGGAATGATTAGCTAGAGCGAGACAATAGGATGGTGACCAGACTCACGAAGTTGTGTGAGCCCTCCCCACCGGTGAGCAATGCCAGAATCTATGAATTGATTCATTTGTTCTGCGATGAGGATATTTCACTTACCAAGTTACCACGTGAAGTGTCTTCATCCGAATACGGTTGCAGGCCGTCCCAATGCGCAAGACTGTGCAGAATCAGGCACAACAGGCGATGACCAGGGACTCCGCCATGACATACGAGTTCACCAGGAAAGTGCAGTGCCAAACTTGACCATCAGTCAGCAGCCAACACGACATTAAGCGCTTTATCACGGACTCGCCAGTCGTGGCACAAGGCCCCCCCAAACGTAAGCACCGCTGACATCACCCCACAGACCTCCGAGCAAAGTCGGAAGAATTATTCCGAAGAAAAGAGCAAGCGGAACTGTTCGCCGGTCAGCCACGGCGTCAGTATGTCAGGCAGACTGACCATAGTGTTTGTGCTGAAACTTTACGACTAAACAGTATTCAGTCAGAGGCCCTGGTAAGAATGAGGACGCACCAGGATCAGCATCTAGGTCTTCGCGGTCTACCAATTCCATACGCTCGTACGTGGGCTTATAAAAGATCCATCTAAAACCATGGTATCGGTAATTTGGGCTGGTGGAGGAGATGAGATGACAAACCCCATGTGAGAATAGAATAAGCCGCGAGTGGCGGCATATCTTGAAGACTCAGCGACATTGCGTGATAATGGCGATGCCCACAACTCACGGATCGTGTTGGGGATCATCGGTGAAGCGCTGCAGACGCGCGCGTGGTCAGTTCAGTGAGATTTGAATGCATGAACATGACAAACATGGTGTAGACGGTGTCTCAAGCACCTATATTTGCAAAGGTTCCGGATGCTCAAGTGTGAGGGAGACTGAGCTTACCACCACTAGATCAAGTTGAGCACACAGGCAGATCCGCTCCAAAACCAAAACCCCTACTTTGATTGACCCCTGGAACCCCGCTGAGCCAAGAACAGCGAGAACCACGCGCACTGGAAGCTTGGCTTTGAAGGCGCGGTGACTGTACAGACGATGGTACCCAATCTAGGCAGGAGCTGATGAGCCCAACTTCCATTTGTTGCCGTCAAGTGGGCGCACGGTGATACTTGTGGAAGAAGCTGAGCAGCAAAGCCGGGAATGTCAACTTCGACGCACCCAAAATCTGCCAGTTGCCAAACCAGAAGTCCCAGCACAAGACTAGCTTTATGGACGGTGTAGAACGGTCTCCAGAACAGGGCTCCATAAATTGCAGCGGCGTGAGTCAGAAGGAAGAAGGAGGCGTTCGACCACCAGATGGGGGGCGCAGATTCAGAAGGTGGCGGCGATTTGTTTTTCGCGGACATGCTCTAAAGAGAGGCTGAGTGAAGAAAACACTGAGCACACTGCCCGTATTTTGGTCGTTTGGCCCTCGGTCCTCCGGCGGTAAGTAACGTCATCTAATCGGCATCAGCATCGATGATCGCCCGTGATGATCGCGATCACAGCTGGTTCCAGCGCCCGTGTCCAGCACGTTGTCCCCCTGGAAGCTGGCGACTTAATCACATTCTCCCCATGTTTTCCTCATGATATTTTGCCGGCATGATCTCTGCAGATACCGTCTACTTTGCGACGGACCTCTCTTATCCTCTCAGTGCTTGTGACCCAAATGCCCCACTCGTTTTCCCCCACGCCCATCCCCAAATTCGGGCCCCGATGTAGCATATCGCTTCCCAACCAAGATCCTCCACTGAGATGTATCTGTCGCAGTCCACAAGGGATCAGTTCATCCAAGATCGGGCCCACGGTTGTTGCGTTGATCCCGGATCCAGGGAGGATATCGAGTGGGCATGGTGAATCCCGCCCAGCCATTTGTAGTGTCGTGCAGAGTGTCTTGACAGTGCAGAGATTTTCCAAAACTGTCGGGCCGTGTCCACTGCAACGAATGCATGTCATCTAGCCATCAAGCTCGGCAAAGAGGGCGCTACCTTGTCAGGATACGAGAAATCCCTGTGATTCCTATCACATCTTGAAGAGCTAACCGGGATCCAGACCTTGAGCATGGAGAAGCGTAGTCTTAGGGCTCACCTTCGGCGGCGTCTCGAGTCATGTCGAACGCACGGTGAAAGCAGACTATCACGCGCCTATCCGCGTCAGATATCGACCAATAATGGTGAGTCATACCTTGCAGAGGTAGTGCTTCATCGACGAGTCTACACAATTAGTACGGGACATCCACTTCTGTCGGGCTCACCGTTTAGTAGTTCCGACGTCGACACGCCCTTCAGCAGTTAGGGCGCCTCCAGCACGTTGAGATAGAACTCCGGGTAGTCAGATCGACTGACCTATCACCACACCAGCCACACCCTCCAGCTTGACGATGCGAATATCTTCCAGCATCACTTCAACTTCACTCTCACTATACAAAAAGTCGCCTGTGCGCGGGCGAATCATCGCCTAGACCACATGAATCCGAGGCCGGGAGCACTTCGATAGTTAACAGACCATGATTGGGACATCTACAGCGCGCTTGATAGCTTTCAATAGACCCAGACTAGGTGTTGTGCCGCCGCCAACGCCTAGGTTGCCGCAAACTTCCAGTCGGTCCACTCCACCAGCTATAGCGCTACGTCGGCTTCTCAGTGAAAAAATGCAAAGCTATCCAGGTAGATTCAAACTTGAGAGCGGACTGGAGCGAGTCGACACAGACTTCAATGGTCAAGGGAAGAACAGACATCGAATTGATCATGATAAGATAGCAAGATAATAAGTCACATCAGACAAGCGGATCAGGTCGCATGCAGCTATAAAGAGGATATTCTGCGATCGTGGGGTCATACATGAATTGAAGAGGCACACAGAGGGCAAGGATCAGGAACCAGACACGGTGAAAGCACCACCGTTCAACGGGGTGTCAGATTCTCGTAAAATTTGACTATCTTTCTGACATTAGGACAGATGGCCAGGCGCACGCGCTCGTTATCCTTGAGAATATGGCTGCGTCCTTCGAGCCACTGGTGCAGAGCAAAAACCCCGCTGCCGTCCCTCATGATCCTGGCAATCTTATCCCGCTGCAGGGACCATTTCAGTTTACGCATGATCGGGAGGAGGGACCGTGAAATCGACGTCGAGGCGGATTCGATGTCTGGATATACTTGAGAATGGTATAGACGACGCAAGGGATTCGACTCCGTGCGGTGGCGGAGATGCTGTGTCGACACGACGTGACGGGCTTGCTGGCGGGCTAGAGACAGCGAAGCCTCATACTGAATCACAGACTTGTTGCAGAAGGGCTTCAGTGGATGCAATGGCTGGAGATGGTACGCAACGCACGATGTGTGAATAGAAGTATGACCCGGCACGCCATCTTCTCTCAATAGCCAGTCCACGCATGACGCCTCGCTGAACGAGGTCGCCGACGCTGGGCCGCAGACTTTCACCCCGGGGACTCACAGCGAAGAGATCATGCTGCACGCGAGCAGGAGACACCACGCGAAGGCGGTTGTTGTGGAGTGCAGTATCCGACGCAAGCTGAGCTAGGATAGGTGAGAGAGTAGAAAGTATAGCAAGGTCCGGGAGGTCGAGGTAGGAGAATATATGGAGAGTGACTTCCGGAGGAAAAGTGAGGAGCATAACGGTCCTTGGCAACGAAGATGAGGATGCATATACTACTTAATCGGGACCGTGCAGTGCTGTGCCCTGACACGCACACGTGACTGAAACTCAGGGATGACGATGTATCTGGATTCGAAAACATGGACGATTCGATTGCAAGGACAGCGAGAATGTATGTACGGGGTTTAATGTTTATCGTGGAAGCGACTTGATGTAGCGGGATTGAAGCGATAGGAGGAATGCGAGAAGGGAACGAGAAGGAAATTTGAATTCACATGGTGTGAGTGGCTTTCTCGACATCAACAGTCACACGGATTCCACGAGTTTGCTCTTCAAAGCTGGGGGAACGACTGGCAGCGCGGAAACCCATCTCCAGCATACCGCTCGAATAGGCCGGCGCAGGGCTACCAAGCTCCGATTTCTCATCGAGGGGCTCACCGTCGGCACCCTCGACCGCCGCACTGAGCTTGCCCAAATCCAAACCCAAGCCAAGACGGATTTCATCGAGCTCAGTGACGTCTTGCTCCAGGTCCAGTTCCGGATGAATGCTTGAACTGCCGCCGAAAGTGCTTAGCACAATGTTTGAGTCGGTCATGCGCCCTCGACTATAGATTCCGCTTTTGATCCTGTGGCTCGGAGGGGTGAATGGCGAGCATTGTTGGGTCATCGTCTTGGTCGTGAAAGCAGCCATTCCAGTACCCTCCGAGTGCGAAACTGTCTCAGATCCACGCTCCCGGAGGTCCAAAATCTAGAGGGATCAGTGATGACCCAAGTGGACATGCATGTAAAGGAAGACTGACCAGACGACAGGCAAGCAGAGGGGCCATCATGACACTGAGAGGAATATTGATGGCGGAGATGACTTGGCGAGGCCTAACAAAAATCGTTACGATTCACCACGAAGTCATCACTTTAGAACGCACTGGAGATAGAAAATGCCGTTGATCAAGTTGGCGGCCGAGATGAGAATGTAATAGAAAACGCCTAGCTTTGATGAGAGCTAGAATTCAGCGAGCAACAGCCACCACACCTTCGCGAATGAATGTCTGGATCAAACGACTGCTAGGGCCACCATTGTTACGACGGATTCTGATGGCTTTGGCCACAGTCATAAAGGTCACTATAGTATCGAAAAGAAGTGGGGCGATCTGTCTTGCCGTGTAATCGAGTGATCCATGAGGATCGCAGGAAGTTACGCACGAAGAAACCTAAAACAAGCGCGTCAAAGAACAATCCGAATGTAAGGCGCAGAGATTACGAACCGAGCAGATGCGCCGAGTGAGGTTTGGATTCAGGAAAACAAGGGCCACGTTCCTAGATGTCGTTGAGTGAGGATGGTCGCGCATATATCCAGTGTACTTACCAAGGGAGGCACGAAAGGCAACACTTGGCACGGCATTTATAGTGAAGATCTGGCTTAGATTGCGAAAGACAACTCACAAAGCATCTGAGTGGTAGCCACATAAAGCTGATAGGCTACGACTCCCGAGATCGCAGAAATGAGAAAACAAAGGACGTAGCCATTTCTATTGAAGAAAGCATAGGTGCGAATGAGGAGAACAGCTAGAAATATCTGGTTAGTTAAACAGACACATAAAAGAGAGAGGCCCAACATTCGGAGCCGACTTGATTCCACAGTGCCAAGCTGACTGGAATCTGTAAAAGACCGCGTGCATTATATTTAAGCTTTCCAAGCAGTCGAAGTAACATACTCTGTAGATCTTGAGACAGACTTCTCTGCTGTGGTTTCCGACAAAACAGAAGAGCAGGTAAGGTACGACGACAATCACCCAGTATCTTTCGATCAAGGTCAGGAGAGGCACCAGGAAGAAAAGCATATCTGCGAACCTGCAAAAGAGGTAGGAGACCTTGACCGGAGTCCAATGGGTTTTCCAGACCTTGAGACCTTTTAGTGGCGCGTGTTCAGAAAGAGTTATCGCGCTCACATATTTCCATTCTCGCGGAAGAGTAATGAGCCAGTCCCAAACGACCACCGCATCTATAAGAACGAGATCGGCGGTCTTGATTGAAACCGCGTTGCAGGCGACAACTCACACATAGCTACATAACGGATGAAACCCAGCAAAAAAGAGAGAATGAACGCGACACACCGCAGAAGTATACCTGCGTGATATAGATGAAATACTCTGTAATAGTTGTCAGTGATGTTGAAGACGGAGATCGGCGAGGAGCGACCAGTACCTGCTGTTGCAGGAGAGTCCGCCATTACGGGAGGAGAGGAGAGTGGAATGTGTATAGAGTCAAGAAAGAGAGGCTGACAAACACTCAGACAGGAAGGCACGTCAATTATACAAACGCTCGCTTCTTATGGTTCAGTTCAGACAAATCGATCTTCTCTTCGCTTCTATTCTCAGAATTGCGTCATCTTCTACGGTTCCAGGCAGTGATGCGAAAGAACTGCAGTCTTCTTTTTGGCGCATCTTTCTGAATAGAGTGTGAAACGGTTATAGAAGTTTTCCTTTGGCCGCGTTTTGTAGAAGACTGTCCAAAGAAATTACGCCACAAGCCTGAGAGAGACTCGCGGGAAATTTTTGGAAATTTCCAGACGAACTAGCAGAGATTCACAGTTGTGTTTGTTGGGAATGAGATTCGCGTCATCGAAGACACGAGTTGAAAGCTTATTTCGAAATAAGGACGCGAGCGTCACGTGTAAGTCGCGTGACAGGCCACGTGAGACCGGCTGTCATCGGGACTGGTCACCAAAGTCAGAAGGCTAAATCCTCCTCAATGGCTGACGTCCAACACATCCGCCTCCGACGGCCGCCAACAGAACCCAAAGCTGCGCCCCAACCAAGGCACACGGGAATTCTCCAAGATCAATTGCGCAGAGCAGCACGGCGACCATGGAACCCAAGTTTTTCGCTGGCAGTCCGTATACTGCTTCTGATGCGGGTCGCTGGTGCAATGTATTCCAACATTGACGACTGTGATGAAGGTGAGGAAAGGAAAAGGAGGCTATAACATGACCACTGAACTCACTAGTGTTCAACTTCTGGGAGCCTCTCCATCTGTTGGACCACGGTTACGGCTTCCAAACTTGGGAAACCTCCCCTCGATACGCTATTAGGAGTTGGGCATACATCGTTTTACACCTATTCCCGACGAGAATCGCCAAATTCATTTCGGAAGATAAGGTGCGCAACTTATGCATGTATACCTTCGGAAGCAGTCCTCAAGCTTATGTCCTCCCAGCGAGTCGCGTTCTTCGCAGTGCGGATTACTCTTGCTGTAATCTCTGTATTCGCGGAAGCAACATTATATCGTGCGGTTCATCAAAGAATTCAAGAGCGAGTGGGCCGCTACCTATTCTTCATGCTACTGTGCAGCGCTGGGATGTGGAACGCATCTGCTGGTGAGCCATGTTTTTCTGCCTCTTCTAGCATGAATACTCAACTCTGAAGCGTTCTTGCCGTCATCATTTGCCATGTATATGACCACTTTCGCATTTGCCTATTCCCTCGAACCTCCTAAAGAAGGCAATTTCCGACGCACATTGTTCGTCACTCTGTTTTTTGCAACTGGTGCTGTCGTCGGCTGGCCATTCGCTCTGGCGCTCTCCATCCCATTCGTATGTGAGGAACTCTTCGTGTTCGGTGCAGATCACGTCCCCGCGGAGATAAAAACAAAGTGGATGATGACCCGTTGGAAGCAGCTCCTCATGGCCGGATTGGCCGCGTCGTTGCTATTCGTATGTTCTTTGAGCTGCACTCCAGAGCTGCACTGACGATTTCCAGATTCCGGTCATTGCCATCGACAGTGTCGCATACGGCAAATGGACCATCGTCCCTTGGAACATAGTGCAGTATAACGTCTTTGGTGGATCTGAGCGTGGACCAGAGCTCTATGGCACGTCGCCATGGAACTTCTACCTGCTCAACCTCGGCTTGAACTTCAACATCCTCACTCCATTGGCAATCTCTTCTCTGCCTGCTCTCGCTGTCACTTATTACATCGACCGCAAGCGGCTGGGATTCGTGACCGTGACCGGCCCGGAACGGACATCGCCATATACAACTCTGGCTATTCGCCTTGCTCCTTTTTACGTGTGGCTGGGCATTCTTACTGCACAAGCTCATAAGGAGGAACGTTTTATGTTTCCCGCCTATCCTTTGCTCTGCTTCAATGCTGCAGTCGCTCTATACCTGATGCGAGGATGGCTCGAGAAAGGTTTCATCACTTATACGAAATCTCCGTACCAGGTGAGATAACATTGTCATGTTTCATGATCAGTCTGATGTATCTTGTCTCCAGGCTTCCAAGACAATGATGTTTAGAACATTCACTTCATCGGTGGTTATCACAGCTGCAGCTCTTTCACTGTCGCGAATCCTTGCGCTGATCATATACTACCACTCTCCGCTTTCCGTGATGCATCACTTGCAGACATTTGAGTTGCCTAGGCTCCTCAATGATACGGGTCTCCTGCCAGTAGTTCCGCCGGGGACACCTGAGGAAGAAATTCCTCGTGTCGATCTTTCTCTCATCAAGCGGTTCAACCTCACACTTTGCACAAGCAAAGAGTGGTACAGATTCCCCGGTCACTATCTCGTTCCTGATGGTATCCGCGTCGACTTCGTTAAAAGCCAATTCGACGGTCTGCTGCCTGGGCACTTCGGAGAGGGAGACTCGATGCAGAATGTGGGTACAGGAGCAGGATGGTGGGACCGGCCCGCCACGCGCCAGGTCCCGGACAGCCTGAACGATCTGAACAAGGAGCAACCAGCATTCTATGTGCGTTATCTGATCCCCTTCACTTCTTTCACTCATCATGCCCAGGTCCCCATCGAAAGCTGCGACTATCTCATCGATCTTGACTTTCCTCTGCACCCGTCTGTCTCGAGCCTCGAGCCTCGCTATTCCATCGACGCAGGAGCGTGGGACCGAGTCTACTGCACACCATTTTTGGACGCAAGACACTCGAACACTCTGACCCGCACTCTCTGGTTGCCAGCGGCGGCTTGGCAGAATCAGAACGAGTTTGGAGACTATTGTCTATTGAAAAACCTGCGCACGCTGCAGACAAAAGAGCAACTTGTATCCAGAACAATCACCGAGTCCACTACCTAGAGCCTAGAAACACAACGTTGTAATTCATGATCGATGACCATGTCCTGTCATGATCGGATCGTTTGTGTGTGCGGCGATCAAATGATTACCCGCGAACAGCTACTTTGAGACGCGTTCGTCTTTGACAATATCTCACAGCTGCCCGACGCGTTTTTTTCATCAACCTCGCCTCACGAAATGGACCTTTCAGAGCACGATTCCGAATTGGTGCGCGTTTCCACCCAATGCTCGCGGCCTGCCATTTAACGCGCCGTTGTACAGACAGAAATGTCGGACTCGGACATGGACATCGATGACCCTCCTGCATCTATCGTTCAAAGAACGAGTGGTACGCAGAATGTCTACCCTCAACCCTCGCTGACTCCGGCGCGCGACATCAGAATTTCTGCTCCCTAAACTGGCGTTACTTGAGAGGATCTTGCCCTCAGGATTGGATGGTGACTGGAAAGAGGCCAAGAGCATACTTCAGGAGACCAAATGCCACGCTGAGGCAGTACGCCCGTATAAAGTTGCGCTTTTAGGTCGCACAGGTGTGTTCCTCCGTTGCCTGTTACCTTTTTGGCGCTTCATTCACAGTAGGGGTGAGTCTACACACACCATCCCTTTACCATAAATTAACCATGCCAGTCCGGAAAATCCACACTCTTGAACGCCCTGCTACGCAAACCCATTCTTGCCGCCTCTGCCGCTGTACGTTCTTCTCCATACGTCTGCGCATTGTCCTCACGGGCGTTAGGGCGCTTGCACAGCAGTGATCACAGAAATCAGCTACAACGGTATGTTGTGACCAGTCTGGCATAGCGAAGCGTCGCCGGACTGAATACGATCACAGATACGCTGCAGGCAGAAGTAGAGTTTAAGCATGCGGACCAATGGAGAAAGGTCTGAGCTCTCTGTCATCTACACATTCATCTCGTCATCTGATCGCTTGATGATGCGTAGGAGCTGTGCACGTTGTACACAGAAGCGTGAGGGATTCCTGCAATCGCTGAACTGTGCACTGAGTGGATATAGAACTGACAATGACGTCGACTCAGACGAGTTACAGGTGGAAGGCGAGGAGTTGAAGAGCTCTGCAGTGAGTCAGGCCAGGGAACGAATGCGTCAGGTGCGTCTCCTCACCTGCACTCCATCCTCGTGCCTTAGAACTCGTTCCAAGTTGTTTCCGGGGTGGGTTTCGTGTTGAAGTCAGCACGAATCTCGTTTATCGAATCCTTATTGCAGGATCTCAGACAAACAGGTCAACCAATGGCCGAGCTTTGAAGCATTTCGTGACGACAATGAGCTTGCAAAGCATCTAGGAACTTCCGTTAAACTGAATGATACAACTTTCGACAACTTTCAGAAGAATGTCGGTGCAGACTGACTAATGGTCAGGCTGCTCTATCCTCACATCAGAACACAGCTCGAGACATTCCTGGCCTCTACCTTGAGTCAGCAAAGCACACGACAGCTCTGGCCGATTGTTCGTGTGTGCGTGATAACCAATGTCCACAGAGCATTCGCTTATTAGCCCTGCAGTGTGCGAATCTGCGGCCCTTTCGAAGTCTGTCTTTTCTCGAGTGTTTCAGTCAATGCAAGCTGACTTGTGGATAGATTCTCTCGACTGGGGTAACACTGGTCGATCTGCCCGGCTTCGGAGACGTGGATCACTTGAGAGATGCCGTCGCTGCGTCTTATCTTGAACAGGCCGATGCGGTGCTCCTCGGTGAAGTCATACTCGATATCCCGCCTGCGTGCTTCTCATGCAGTTGTCTAGTTGCCGGGATCTCGAGAGCCAAGGACGATAAGGATGTCAATACCCATCTCAATACCTAGTGAGTGTGCCGTAAGGTTCTCGCGTACGGTGGTATTCATCTTCCAGTATTAACCAATGCATCGTTGATGGTCGGGTACAAGACCGGTCGATTGCGGTCATTCTCACCGGCGCCGATGTAGGTCGAATTCATTTCCAATTTAGTTGGAGCGACATGCTGACTAATCATCATTTGTCAAGAACCGCATCAGCAGTAATGAGTTTACATTAGAACAGTCGGAGCAAGTAAGGGTCAACGCTCTGGAATCGGTGCCTACATATACTAGCAAGCATTACAACTCGTCTAACACGTTAATCAGAGCATCCAAGCTCTTCTGGATGACGAAGATGAAATCACCAGGAAACTCGAGAAGAAGATGAAGTCAAAGTCAAGGTCAAAGAAACATCAGGATGGACTGAACGATCTTCAAAATCAGGTGAACCTCTTCGCTCATCACGACCTATCGCAGTGTTGATGTATTTCGGCAGGTGCAGAAGTGCCACGACCAGAGGGTCGCCGAAATCAAACAGAGAAACACTCTCCTAGCTGTAGGTTTGAAAATCCAGCCGCAAGCGACTCTCATCTCGATTTCAGAAAGGACGCGCACAGCTAGTGGAATTGCAGTTTCAAAACAAGTTCAAATACATGTTCCAGGACTTGGCGCCCAAAGATAAGCCCATACCAAACGTGGATATACCCGTCTTCGCTGTTGGTAAGTCGAGTCTCTTTAGCAAAGTGATTATGAAACTTTTCGCTCTTAGGGAGTAAAGACTTCATGTAAGACACCAGGCTTTCCCTCGAATACTTATTCAGACGTTCTGCAGGTGTCTGAAAAGAATTGAGACCGACGATGCAATGATGTTTTCGACCGCAGAGGAGGTGAGCTCATATCCAAGATTGCTTCATTCCCGCACTCAGTCTAGACAGACCGGAATTCCCCGATTAACAGACCATCTTCGAACGGTCGGAGAACGTCGCGCCTTGACTCATGCTCAGTCTGGTCTAGTCGGTTTTTGCGACATCGTTCAACGGGCAGACAAGATTGTCAGCATCAAACCTCATGATGCGGGGACGCAGCAGGAAACTGATCTGACGAAGCTCAAGAGCGAACTCGACCAGGTTACGATCGTCTTATGATGGGCCGACCTGTCTCCTGACACCCTCAGTAGAAGTGCGCGGCCGTCCTGGATCGAATGCTGGGCACTGTCAACGATCTCTTTTTCCACGAGCTGCAACACGTCATGAAAACCTCGCTGGCTATCGCCAAGGATCGCAGCACATCTGTCTTCGAGAAACATACCACGAAGAAGTGGTTCCGATATCGGTGAGCACGAGACTCGGCTCACTACCGAAGATTCATCGGCTCACTCACGCAGGACCCTTATGCGACAAGAGGGAGTGTTTGAAAAAGAAGACATCAACGTGGAATTGACGCAGAATGAGCTCGTTTCGGTGCTAAACGCGTGGAATGACATATACAACTACAAACTGGGATCAGCCTTTCGACTGTACTACGAAGAGTTGCGCGCAGAGATCTCGACCCATAGCCTATACTTGACCGCTGCTGGTGCGTTTCATCCTCGACAGCCGCCCTCCGTCCTCACTCGTTCGAAGATCCTCTTCGTGCACAATCTGATCTTGACCTTCTCAAAACTGTGTTGAACCAAGTGAATTCGGTCGCTGTCACCGTGACTCAGAGACAAGGTGTTCCACAGCGTGCATGGCCTCTTGCGACCAAGGCCATCCTCCAACCTCAATATGAAAAAGCAGCAGCCCAGAAAGGACCGGGAATGTACAAGCGAATGAAGGTATTATTTCGTGATCTTCTACATATACTCTCATTTGCTAACAATCTCCACAGGAGGTACTACATCACACAGCTTCTAGCTTCTAGTATGGCTGACTCAGTTCTTTCCAGCTCAATCGCGATTACATGCACATGCACGGCGCTTCACTCTTCCAGCGTCTCGAAGAAACTGTCAACGAGCTGAACCGGGCACTTGTCATCACTCTACGCACTGGGAATGATGAAAAGCTGAAGCGGCACATCAATCAACTTGCATTGGGATCCATCAGTCCGTCATCAGACCACTTTCATATCCTCTCCACTTCTGACTGCTCTTTAGCCATCGATCCCGTACCTGAAAAGACGGCCATGTCGAACACAGAGCTCAAAACGTTCATCGCAGAGCACGAAGACATTGCATGCCATTTGCTTGATGAAATCAAGAATCGATTACAAGCTCTGGTTGTATAATTTCCTCTCGGTCCCATGCTGTACCTTTCCTGGTCTACCTCCACTGTAATCTGTATTCTATCGCATGTTCTGTGTATCGCGCTCTCTCGTCGCACTCGTATCGCTTGCATCATCTACAACCTTGTACATAATCAGTGTAACGTTACCATCTTTGTTTGGAATCGAATTCTTGCTACGATTGTCATCCATCTCCATGTTCCCGGCGCAGGACTCCGACGCGGCAATCCGTCTGACAGACACCGACGCGGCGTTGGCAAGACTCTCGGCTGTACAAAAGGGGTACCTCGAAGATCCATTTGTCAAAGCGCTGATCCCCCGCGCACATCTCCAATCTCCTCGTCCGCCGCTGATCAATATCGGGACGTTCGTCCGCGCCACTGCTATCGATGATCTCGTCTTCCGGTGGCTAGACATATGTGCGCAGCAGGGCACTAGGTGCCAGATCGTCAGTCTCGGAGCAGGGAGCGATACACGCTTTTGGCGGATTGCGGTTCGTCACCCACGGGCCTTGATTTCCACCGACCGGTCATTCTCATACAACATACGATCCATCTCAGATAGACAGGCGCGAGCAAGGATGCGCTCGCTGCATATGTCGAGCTGGACTTTGCGGAGATTACGACCAAGAAGGCGATGGCCATCCGGAAGAGCAAGGATTTGAGCGCAGTTCTAGGTTCTACGTCCGACGTCAAGATCGGTGGGTGCTCGGAGGCTAGTCAGACCCGGACTCGAGCTCACAGTGAGGCGCGATCTTTTTGTTACAGTTCAAGGCGGTATGGGCCTGTCCTCCCCCAAGTACCATCTCTTCCCCGTTGATCTCCGACAACCGCCGGCCGAAAGATGGGGCACACTGCTCAGCCCAATTTTACATGCGGACCTCCCGACCCTCATTTTATCCGAATGTGTGCTTGTCTACATGGCGCCGGAAGCTTCTGCTGCGATCTTCAAATGGTTCACGGACTTCTTTTCAGTGGAAGGAGGCGCAGTTCTCGGTAGCATTGTCTATGAGATGTTCCGGCTGCAGGATTCGTTCGGACGCGTCATGCTCGATAACCTAAAGGTGTGATATCCGTTTTGGCCGCATTTACCAGTCTTACATCGATCATCTCAGGCTCGCAATGTCACTTTGCCAGGCGCAGTGCCGTACCCGGATGTGGCTTCTTTGCCTCGCCGTTTTACGGATCTCGGCTTCGCAGCTGCTCGGGCACTTACCTTGAAGGACATCCGGAGGTCATACATATCCGTCTCGGAGCTCCAAAGGTTGATCTCCGCCGCAGTCCGTGCTATCAGTTCGACTGACGATCGATAGGATATCACGCCTGGAATTGGTCGATGAAGTAGAGGAGCTGGACCTCGTCCTGGATCACTACGCTATCACATGGGGTCTCTTCGTTCCGTCGTCTACGACTTCGGGCCCTTGGGCGCAGTGGGGTATCAGTCCGCAATCAGCGAGAACAGATGATGAGGATTGAATGCATCAGGCGTTAGTCTACTGAGTTTTGGCTGCTTTTTTCAAAGCACGACGCCGGATGTCCTTGTGCAGCTTGTGTGTGTACGAGATCCCAGCAGCGGGGGAAACAAACAAGGTGATGGCGTAATCGAGCAGTGCATGCGACCAGTAAGGGGTGCTGGTTTCGGGGCGGCCGCTGTAAGAAGCGCCGCAGCCGAGACCGATCTTGCTCAGCACGGAGCGCACGTAGGGCTTCGGCTGAGGAATCATCATCGAAGCGCGGCGAATCTTAGAGAGCTTGGAGACCTAGGGGTAGATGAGAACCGGATCATGACGGTCCGTAGAAACACGCACGACGAAGTACGTGTTGACATGCTCAACGACGACGCCGTGCTCTCGGACTTCTTCGGCAAGGGCACTGGTGAAAGTGGTCAAGAATGCCTTGGTTCCAGAGTAAGTAGCCAGCATGGGAGACGGAACAGCGCCCGCAAATGACCCGATGTTGAGAACGAGACCCCGCTTGCGCTGAACCATGCCAGGAAGGATGGCATAAGTGACGCGCAGAGTCGCATTTACGTTGATCTTGACTATATCGTTCATTTCGGGAAGAGGGGTGTCGACGAGGTAGACCGGCATCGAGTGTGACTTTCCAACGTTGTTGACTGTCGGGAAATATGAGTGTGAGTGCGGAGATGAATGGCTGACTTCGTACCAAGGACACCAACATCGAGAGCCTGGACAGCAGAGGTGAAGGATTGATAAGCACTCTCGTCAGCCGCAGCAAAGTCGATGGTGTGTATAGCGGTCTGTGCTGTGGGGTACTTTGATTCTGTCGACCATCAACAAGATTTTTGCGAGACAAGGAAAAAGACTGACTAATTTCCTCAGCGACGGTATTCAACACAGCGGCATTCCGCGCCACAAGAAGCACGTTGAATCCCTGGCCTGCTAGCTGGGTAGCGAACTCCTTCCCGATACCATCCGAAGCGCCGGTGACGACAGCCCACGCGCCCTTCTTTGCACCGAAGGTTTTGAGCTACACATTACCATGAGAACAGCGTCGAGAAGTGCTTGTGGAGCAAACCCACACTGATCCCTGGAAGGACGAACGTCTGGAGAAGGACCGAGACCGTTTGTTGCACGAATCGAACAGTCACAAAAGAACCTAACGCGAGAAGCGTGGAGAGCCACCAGGGAGAGGTTTTCACTGCGGAAGAAGGAAGCTTGAGAAAACGTTCGACGCAAAGACTGGGGAAACGGACCGAAGGACTGAACAGCGTCGACGTAGGTGCTCATCGTGCCTGAAGACAAGCGGATTTGGCAGCGCACCGGACGAGACGGAAACACGCTCACGTGCTGACGTGGCAATGCCATCATCGTTTGATGGCAGCTCGAGACGCGCACTCGGTCGTTCAATGGGTATTATTGGCGAGGAACCCGCTTCATGACGACATGTCGTTACCGAGATACCCGAGCTTCTGGCTATGTTCCGGCTTAAAAATAACTGGAAGGCGGAATGAGGAACATCCTTTTTATAGCGTGGGTTTGCCGCGAGAACCGCAGAACGGGCGCGGCCATCGTTGCATACCGACGCCTCTTCTAAACAACATTCGCAAAGATTGAAATTTTCAAGAGCCGAAAGCGAGCAAACTGTTGCTTATCTGAGTTGTGGCTGGAATACAGCACTGTCATGCTGAGGGCGGCCGCGATCGCCAAGAGCAGGCCTTTGAGCGCGAACTTTCTTCTCTTGACAGATTTTGCTGCGGATTGCGCTTCCACGTTGGAGCGGGCGGCTGAGTTCGAACACTTTGTGTCATCAATGGCTCTGCGACATTGAACACATGGGCCGAGCTCAGATCACTTGATTCGTGTTTTGATCTCGTATATAACAAGCATATGCACCGACCACGAGCCATGATAACGCGGCGACGCCCAGCCGATGAGCACCAGCTTGCTCTCCCTTCCAAATGAGCTCCTCATCATCATCCTGGAAAACCCCAGACTCCCGTCGGACGCCCTCTGTAGCCTCGCAGTCCTATGTCGTCGATTGCACTTTCTGGCGCTTCCCATCTTCTTCGCGCGCCAAGGCATGCCCGACCCATCCCAATCGGCTTTCGTATCACTCTCGAACGACGGCGCCGATACATTAGCCGCCCTAAACATGGCGTTGTTCATTACGGGCATCCAGGACCTCACCTGTCTCATGCCCCATCCCAGCTGCGATTCAGTCCTCCCGCTGCTCCCTCACGTACGGCGACTGCAAAATTTCATTCAGCGTTTCCGCACGGTCGGCCGAGTGACCCTGCAGCTAGACGCGAGAAACAGCATGTGCAATTCGACAGGAGATGATACTGCGTTACGGGAATGGACCCGAGTGATGGGTGGCCTCTTTAACGCGTTGCTTGAGCGAAGATCCACACATCTCACCATTCGGTACGGGGGCTATCTCACCCGGTCATATGCTCTCTCTGTCGACAAGTCCGTCTCTCGGCGAGCAATCAGAGCGATCAGGAAGCTCTTCACGTCGGAACCTCTGATGGCCGGCAAGGAGTGGGAGTTCCGACGCGCACCGGAGCAGGGTCGTGAGCGCGGTGAAGTCTCTTTCCCATCCCGAACAGTGGACGGCTACCACCTCACTTCATTGACTATCCAGTCCGCTGTGCTGCTCACGCCGCCTTTCCTCAGCTGGACGCTGTCGGTTCTACGCCGTTGTTCTCCCGCATCCCTCGCCATTTCTGAGATATCTCTGGAAAAGGAGCTTTGGGGCCCCGTCTTGTTTCTCATCGGCCAAAGGGCGGGCGAAGTTTCTCAACTGTCGCTGTCGGAGTTAGATTCCATATCTGACGTTGACATCCTGGGACTGTGCTCACGCTTGCCTCGATTGCAATCACTTACCATCGGCAACAACGACGAAGCACCGGGCACACCGACCAGGTGGCAGGAGGGGATCGTCCCCAAGTTCTTGGCTCTCAAGGATCTTGTAGCTCCTGTCGAGTTTATTCTGCACATCCTAGAGCCTTGGGACCGCGTTCCTTACTTGGAACGACTGACCGTGGGGTTTCAGGGCAAGTCCGAAATATGGCGAGTCGGGATTAAGCTTGACAGGGTCTGCGAGGCCCTAGCCGATCGAGGCCAAACTCCGTATATCACACTCTCCCTTGCTCTATTCTCGGACTCGATCGTCTTTGATTTCGACGCGATGTTGAAGATGACACCCGACGACAAGAAGTCGTTTGGCGCTGTCTCGTGTCTGGACCTGGTTGTCGCGCCGTACAACGCCGAGCAGATTGCGCAGTGGACCCAGATCTTCCGGTCGGTGAAAGAAGTGCGGCTCACTCTGCGGTCGAGACCCGGGGCCGTAGTCGATGATCCTTCCATTGACGAGAAATTCCTCCTTGCTCTATCGAGACACAAATCCTTTTTGCGGACTGTGGCGATCAATGGCAAGCGTTACGAACTGGACGACTGGAAGCAAGCAAGGCGAATAGCCATGTCCCGGAGATGATTGTTATAAGTATCGTACTTGAGGCATAATTAGCACCCACTTACTTGGGTTTGTACAAATATAAATAGATCAGGACAATTACAATACACCTCGCTATCAACGTAGCCAAAGCATGTACATGACACGAAAGCAAATCACGGCCACTCATTCTCCGAGCGAAACCAACACCATACTAGTAACACCAGCAAGCACACTCCCCAGGGCTAGTGCTCTGCGACCAGGACTGGGATGGAGCCCTGGCTGTTCGGCTTCCTGATCGTCATCTACTTCGACCTCGTGTGAATGACCGCCGTGTCCGTGGCCATGCCCGGGGCTGTCCTCGAGACTCCCAAACACAAAGTCAGCTGCGAGCATCTCTATGGTGGCGGCATAGATGAGCATTCCTGCAGAGATTGCCGACATGATTCCTTTAACGAGTGTAGTGCTCGGAAGATCTGCGTCCATTTCAGTCAACGTCGGAAACGGCGTGCGGGATATATCTCACTCTCAGCGTGACTTGAAAAGGACGACATTCCGATGACCATTCCCACGGGTGTCGTCAATGCGAACAGTAGCACCAAAGCTATCGCAAACCAGTCTCGTCCACCGGTTTTGGAAGCAGGAAGTGACGCGATCCGGATCCCAAGGGAGAGACCCTCAAACAACTGGTGGAAGATGATCGCCGTGAGCAGGGAGGCTATGAGCAGTTTCGGTTCCACGCAGCTCGGAGAACGAGGCGGAACACATACTGAAATCGCCACCGGAAGTGAGGGCCAGGGTGAGTCCAATCACTAACGAATGAAGCATGATACCCAGCTGGAGAACCTACCCACACGCTCGGAGTCAGGATATATTCCAGAAGAGAACGAACGGGCGCACAATAATTCCAACCAGCTGCCTTCCTCTGCCGACTTTGTGGTCCTCTTTCCGGGGCTCTGGATTCGCTTCGAAGTCCTGGGTGGGATACGCGAACACTTCTCCGTCATGGTTCGCGGTAGTCACGCAGACACTGAGCATCCTCCCGTCATGTCGGCTCAGCGGGCAGTGTCGGGGTGGCGCAAATAGCGCTGCTAGGAAAGCAGGCTGCAAAGGCGAAGCTTTCGGCCGAGCGACGAGTGGAGTCACTTCTGTTGGAGGAGGAAGGCGGGAAACGGGGATGTGCGGGGATTCGACGGGGGATGAGGGTGCAGATGGTTCCGCATGAAGGTAGTCGACGTACGAAGTCGAGACGTCTGGAGCTGGTTAGAGATTATCGAAGTGACTGCAAGCCGAACGAACATTCAACGATGAAGATAAGCAGCAGCGAACCCAGTCTGCACTATATTCAGCGATTGCAGACGAGAACCAAAAAGGAGCGTACATTATGAGACCGGTCTGCTTCTGGACCCGAGGATACTTGTCCTGTACCTCTGGACTCTGCAAATGCTCGAATGCATCCTGTAATAGGTGACAGAACGCAGTTGACAGTATGACACCCGTCCCGAAATGTTTTCCGATAAAGAACGCGACATGAGGTATGCGCAACAGGCTTGAGCGCTGCGAAAGGCCTGGGAACGAGACGGCTATTCCAGGTCAGTGACCCCGTGCTTGAGATGGCTAGAGCACGCCTACCGAAAAGTGAGATGAAGAAGATCCCGAAGACCGATATTGTCTTGGATGTGAGACCTGCGAGTGTATACACGCTCGAGTTCCTCAGGAGCGAAAAAGTATCGGAGTTCATCGCACAGTAAAGGTAAGAAAGTGCTAGGCAGCTGTAACGCTCACTCAATACCTCGCTGGTACATAATAGCACCCTGGGTACCCCCGCGGTGCCACGTGATCCAATCAATGACGTACAGGCGATCATGCCCTTTCTCTCCGCCGTTCACACGCGTTACTCTCGCCAAGAGCCGATAATCATGAGAATAGTCAAACCTTCGCGTCAAATTAGCTCAAGTTTATATTCAGTTGGCCTCTACATCTTCTACGGCCTGGTAAAATTCTTGTATGATGCGTTTCTGGGCATCGACATTCGACTCTTCCTGAATTGTAAGAGACGGATAAGCAAAAGCAATCATCGGGAAAGATAGAACGCGACTAGCCTGACTTGTTGCGACACCACGGACTACAACGTACTTTCTCCCCGTCAATATCGCTTCCGTGACATCACCAAAAGCTGCAGTCTGAGCCGTAGCGGCAAAGGCGTCGTGACCGCCAGATACGATACCCCCGGCTTCCTCTGCAATCACGATTCCCGCGCAAACGTCCCTGAGAGTCAAATCAGCTGATACTTCCAGTTCTGAAATGGTGCGACATACCAGGGCCAGCACCCGACTTCCCTGAAACAAATATGAGTTTACTAACTTGTTTATTCGCAGTCAACTTCACTTACCAGTATAGATCGAGTCCTCCTTGCGCAACAAGCGCAAAATTGAGAGCCGCAGATCCAACAGAACGCAGAGAATGTGCCATCTTCCCTCCTTGCACATCTTGCGCAGGGTTCCCTGCCAGACGACCGAATGAAGAGGACTTGGCTGAGATTGTCTTGTTCGCACGGTCAGATCCCCACTCGATGGCTACAGAGCCAGATTTAGCATCCATCAAGTCCTTTGATTACGGAAGAGCCGCACCAATGAGCGCCTGCGACAGTGAAGGAAGAGGCTTGGGGGGTGAAGAGAGCGGAAGTTTGACCGGTTGCGCGCTTCCCCGGGTGAGGTGCGAGCCTTGCCCTTTGATCCCAGTGTACTAGGCGGGGTTCCATCGTTGATCAAGCACCAAAGAGGAGTTTGCTCACGAGATGGTCGAGAAAGGGGTTGTAGATGACACCAAGCACCGGTCGACGTTTGTAGATCAGTCCGAGAGAAATACAGACAAAGGGGAATCCGTGCACGAAGTTGGTTGTACCATCGATGGGATCCACACAGAAGGTGGGTTTGTCAGTCAGCGGAGGGCGAGATCCAGCTGAATAGGATTCTTCGCCAATGAAATCAAAGTCCGGATATCTGCCTGCAATCTCTTTCTTCACGAGCTCCTCCACGCGGACATCATATTCGGTGACCAGGTCAACAGAGTTCTTCTTCTCGTTGACATCTTTTCCTGCACTGGCCGACTGGATCGCAACAGATCCTTCGAGGATGACCCCGCCTGCTGTGCGGGCCAGAGCAACAGTGAACTGGAGAATGTCCTGCAGATCTTGTGCAGTCAGTTCAGACATGCTGTGACTTATCACGGGTGTTGAACGGCGTGTTTTCAGATGCGCCGTTGTGGTGGACAGCAAAGCAGTGAATACGAACGTGCCATTATGTATTTAGAAAGTTCGGGGAGTGGCTGTTCGGGGTCCTCTGAGCCCGTGCTCCGATTAGATTAGATGAGGGACCAGAGTTCGTGACCGAAGTGACGCACATACGCGTCGCGTCACGCGTGTCCTGCTTCCACCCACTCTACTCCATTCGATCCGGATTTCAAGCGTCGTAGCCATCCTTTCCGATCTTACATTTCACTGGAGAAGCTGCCATGTTTTTGACGCGCTCGGAATATGGTGCTTTGGCTTTCCCTTGTCATGACTATATCTCACCGAGTGCTACAAGATCGCGGTGTCAACACTTTCTCACCGGAGGGCCGGCTATTCCAAGGTACGTTCAACCAGTGGAATTCATGTCTTTGCGCTTACTCAGTTCAGTCGAGTACGCTATGGAGGCTATCAAGGTCTGTACTGCTTGCCGGCTACGCGCCGCCAAGTCTAACGGCCTTGCAGCTTGGCTCAACGACAGTCGGTATCCGGACTCCAACTGGTGTCGTGATTGCAGTCGAAAAGCGTGTGCACTCCCCCCTCCTTGAATCCAGTTCCATCGAAAAGATCATGGAGATTGACTCTCATCTGGGATGTGCCATGTCGGGTCTGACTGCAGACGCGCGTACCATGATCGACCATGCACGAGTGACAGCCCAGAACCACTCTTTTACTTACGACGAGAAGATCAAAGTTGAAAGTGTCGCACAGGCGGTATGCGACCTGGCGTTGCGATTCGGTGAAAGTGTACATGACGAAGAAGCCATGATGAGTCGACCTTTCGGTGTTGCGTTGCTTATTGCTGGTGTCGACGAACTTGGTCCTCAATTGTGCGCGTTTCGTAAAGAAACTAATATATCCTGTCTGACGGATCTGAAGATATCACACGGATCCTTCTGGGACCAGTACACGATTCGACGCGAAAGCAATCGGATCTGGTTCAGAAGCGGCGCAGAGTGAACTGCAGGACAAGTGGCACAAGGTTCGTGCTGCTCCTTCCTTCTTTGGTCACGTCCCTTACCCTGTGCCCGCAGCAAATGACCTTGCAAGAAGCCCAGATATTAACGCTCCGAGTGCTAAAACAAGTAATGGAGGAGAAGTTGGACCAACACAATGTCCAGGTCGCTCAGGTGCGTCGAAACGTATCTGGTCATCTCATATTCAAATGTATCCCAGGTTACACCGGAGAAGGGTTTCGAAATTCTGGACGAAACCACTTTGAAGAACGTTATCGAGCTGATGTAAACTTGATACATTTGAATTACATTTTCCAGCTGTACATGACTACTTGAGGCTGAGCAGAGTTGGTCAAGAGTGCTGTCTAACTCATCGGAGATGGTACACAACTGACCTGGCAATGCATTCGATCTCAAAAAGCACGTCTTTGGGCAAACGAGCAACCTCCACACACGACCGAGCCGGCTTGTGGTCCCCGAACACCTTAGCATAGATGCCGTTCATAACCACGAAGTCGTCCATTGACTTGAGGAACACCTAAGGAGCCATTATCAGACAGTGTGTGGCGAAAACGATCGCGACGGAGCGACGCACAGTGGTTTTCACCACCTTCAGACTAGTCAGAATATATCCTGCACATGTGCACTAAGAGGCCGCGTACCTTGTCCAGCGACGATCCCGCGGCTTCCAATACACTCGTCATGTTCTTCATTGCTTGCTCGGTCTGCTCAACGATACCACCGTCAACCACTGTGCCCGTTGTCGGTTCGAGAGGGATGGACCCCGAGCAGAAGAGCAGATCGCCCAGTTTGATTGCCTAGACCAGCAAGCGCTGAGACCAGTGTGGAGTGTCTTGAGATCCGATTCTCACCTGGGAGTATGGGCCGACAGCAGCCGGTGCGTCTGGAAAGGAAGACATGACGCGTTTTCTGGACCGCGATCATCGAGGGGAACGCACTGGAAGTAGACACGATGTTGAGCGACGACATGGATCTCAAGTTTCGTAAGTGGCGAATCGATTGAGAGCGATGGATGGTAGTGGTTGGACGCAGGGAGCAAGATACACGCAGGATGGAAGCACGAAACATTTGCAATCGACGTCACGCATCGGCAAAGTGGTCAACTGCAACTCTCCGGACATTATTAGGGGCAGTCAAATATGCCGATTCAGACGTGATTCAGAGTGTGATTCAGACACGATTCTGTCGTGATTTAGATACGATTTAGACACATGAATCACCATCAAAGCGTCTCTGAATCGTAAGTGAATCGCTTCTATTTTGACCACCATGTTATGCACTCTGCTTTACTGTCGATTTGACTCTCTTGAGTGGGCTTATGTTTCCTCCATTATGTAATCAGTCTCTCTCTCTTTCTTTTCTGCCCTCCACATGCCCCGCGCGTCGCGTCGCTGTTGGAAGCTTTGGCCTTGGCCATAGTCGGTGTGAAGTGTGACTGTGCCGCTCACATCACTTGTAAAAACGTAAACAGATACAAAACATGTGCCCCTATGACATAAATGGACTTGTAAACGAGTCGAGTGAAGCTAAAGCAGAAGCAGAATCCGTCGTTGAAACACCTCTGGAGGTGTTTCGACGATTCACGCTCGATTCGCCAGTGATGCGATTCTCCCACGATTCAGGATCTTTCTGAATCGCGTCTTGAATCGCTTCCTGAATCAGATCGTGAATCGGCATATTTGACTGCCCCTAATAGATTATTGGTTTGGTGGTAATGTATACAGAGATAGCTATTAGAACCCGTAGTCAGATATGCGCGTAAGATACATCAGTGCGGAAAGCAAGGGACACAAGCGGAGAGACAAGCGAGCAAAAACTGGGATATGTACAGTATTAATAGAAGTGGGAGATTTGTGAGTTAGCCAAATGAGTGGAAGAGTGGCGAGATTCTTGATGCGTTATACGAGCTTCATGTTCCTGAGATTGCCCTTGATAATGATATCCCGGACTAATTCAGCCGGTAAGAGAGCGTCAAGCAAGAAGCAGCGGAGGCTGACCGTTGGAAATGATAGTAGCAGTGCGCCTTGTGTCAGTTACGGCCGTGAGATGAACTGCATGGATGTCAATGCTCCGTTCATTGAGGGAATCAGCTTGTGCATACTGTACAGTTCTCGCTCCTTGTTCGGGGTCATCGCATGGTGGATCGCGCTAAATTTGTTACGGAAATCTGCCCATGCGAGTCAGTAAGAAGTATTGCGACTGGCATGGTCGGATGACTTGCATTTGGATACAGAATCATAATCATTTGGCCGGTCACCGTAGGATATCATTTGATGGCTCAGTCGCACACCAGCTTCTAGCTTGGCCTTTGAGAGCGTCAGGGACGACTAAAATTGAAGGGGTCAAGAATTTATGCACCTGGAGCAGATCGCATTTGTTCAAGAAGAGCACGATGTTCACTTGAGCAAGCAGTTTGTTGGACACGACCGACTGCCATAGCTGTATGGAATCTTCCAGACGATTGACCCGAGGATCCTGGAGGAGTGAGTAAGTGAGGGTTTCCCCGTGAAAAGAGACATGCTTACCTCAGCCAGCACCTGATCGAAGGCCGAAGCCGCCACCATGAACAACAGGCAATTCACTAATCGAGTGTCAATTCAGGCACCCCAGAGAAGGGACGACATACTGTCATCAAAGTATGGTGCCCATGCTTGCCGCTGGTTCCGCGCTCCACCGACGTCGTATATCTTCCATTCCACTCCGCGGTTGCTACCCGCAGAAATGAGGAAAGTGTGCTCGACAACACCCATCGTCTTCAGTCTGGCCTTGAGAACATCGGCTGTTCAGCAGCCAATCAGTGACGCGGGTACAATTGACAGAGGTCGATACGAACCGTCAGTCGGAATATACATCTTGGCTGTGATCCGAGGGATCTCGTCCAGATAGCTGGAGGGAAACAAGTTAGTGCGGTCCATCAGCAGCACAGGGAAGAAACATGACACACAATCCGCTGCTCTCCTCCAGTCGCAACCGTTTCTCTCGAAGCCGCTGGCGGACAGCAGGATCTCTCCACATTTCTTGCATGAAAGGAGCGCAGGCATTCAGAGCGTGAACGGGATCGGTGGGATCTTCCCACCAGCCTTCAACTTCGTTCGAATGCACGCTTTTCGGACTCTTTGCTTTCCCGCCACCAAGAGAAAACGCCTTTTTCCAGTTGCGAGAGGTATGCACGCTGACTTCGTTTGTGCTGGTTGGCGACGAAGATGCCGACGTACCGAGCGGTGAAGGGTTGGCTGATTGGCTGTAAGGAGGGATAGAGATCGTGGGTGTCGGCCTGCCATCGCTGCCGTATGATTGAAGTGGAGGGGCCGGCTGAGGTCCAAGATGAGTCGCTTCTTCCTCATCCGCAGAGGAGAGCAGTCGGATGAGCCGGGCTTCGAGTTCTACGAGAGGTTGCAGTCGCCGGCGATAACGCTCGTAGTTCGGAACTTTTGTCCCCAGTATGGCAGACGGAGGTCGTCCACTTGACGAAATGATCACAGAAGCAGTCTCAAGTGAATCTCCGTCATCGTGTTCTTCGAGCTCAGTCTCCGGTTGAAGCGCGTCCAGAATTCTGTATAAGTTTGAGAACAGTCTGGAGAAGACCTAGAACACGAACAAAGCACATACTGTCGTATAGACCGGACTAAGTTGAGGTATATTACAGCGCGCCAGGCAATTCGTTCCGCGTGAAAGGCAGCCGGGGTATGCAACAGCTGGAATTCTACAAAGAACGCATTAGTCTATCTTCAGACCTGTGGCCCCAACTCTCGGTCGGCCGCTACCGCACCCGAGCCAGCATCTCAGGTGGAATGTTCTTTTCAGAATTCCAAGCAGACGGAAGCGACACAATATGTGCACGATGTGCCTGGACCACGAGACATGGCAGAAAAGACCGCCCCGGACACTGGCCCAGAAAAAAGGTGCAGAGAGAGAGAGACTCACGCTTGATACAAGTGCTCTTGCCCGACTCGGACCTGAGACGACCATCCAGCCCGAATTAGAAATGACGAGAACGAACACGTACTGGCCCAAGAGGAGAACGTGTACCTCCGCACGCGACTTCTTCCGCGAGCTGCGCTCATTCCTTATCATCTCGTCGATTCCATCGCTGACTCTTTTTGCGTCGTCTGCAGCCTTCAGCCGTAATTCGCGTGCTTCTTCAGTTTCATTTGCCGGAGGTAGGAGGGCTGCAGCGAGGGGGTCCGAGAGGGACCTGCGTCGAGTATCCAGCTGCTTGGGCTTCGCCATATGTCGTCAAGAGAAAAGAAAGAACGGCTCCAGCCGTGGAAGTCGAAAGCGTTCTATCTAAGGTCTTCAATTGGCATATTTGATCGTGCACGTGAACCAACCGCATCCGAAGACAAAGCGCCGAGGATGCACTCTTTCGTCTTGACCGTCATTGTCGGGAGAGGTAGAACATCTATGCTGGATCAAACCGCGTACTAACCACGTACTCGAATCGAAGCAAGCCCAACAAAACATCATGTCTCTGTCCGGCCTGTGCCAGGTTTCAGATCTCAGGAGTAACATCAGCAACCCCGTCGGTCCGTCTGTCGCAGGTCCCTCCGTCATCATCCCATCCGGACATGCCACGCACGTACTGTAGACGGCTTCCCGTATCAGCTACCACCTACAGCAACATGTGTGATAACTTCTCTTCGCATCACCCATGCATCACAACTGATTCCCTGGCTAATGGGTTGTCATCCGGCTATGAACGGAAGACGCTGATCATTTGTGCTTTCTTCCTCCCTCCATGTTCTTCTGCTACTAGTCGATTCGTTCGTACCCTGCTATGCCCGCTTTGTTTCGTCACTTCGGTCGTCCGCGAGACCTTTCTCCTGCCGACGGTGCGCTTTTCCGTGATGCACATCTACCCGCATTGACTCATTCGCGTCCTCGACATCTCAGCTGCTCAGGTAGCGCGTCAGCCTTTCTTTCCTTCTTCGGGCTCTTCCTCTTCTTTTTCTTCGGATAATGACGTGACGGGCAATGGTACGCAGCCATTCTAACGCGCTCTCACGCGCATCACTCACGCACCGCATAGCTCTCGGGTCTCGGGCTCACTCAAACGAGAGGGCGGCAGTGCACACAGGTATAGCCTAACTCTCTCACCATCATCATCAAGGTTCGTTAAGGGTCACTTGTTCAGATGCGGATGGCGTTGAGACGGATGAATCAGCATCAGTTGTGAGTAATCGTAATAAGGCGTTCCGCTCAAAAGATCGAGCGGAACCCAATCGATTCATGAATAACCAATTGTCCTCTGCTCAGAAACGCTCAACAACTGCCATCTCTGCCAACGACGCTGGTAGCGTAACGGATGTCAGCCAGGGTGCGTGTTGTTGTTGCGATTGGGTCGGGTATCTTATGTCGTCTAGATGCCAAATCCTCCGCTGGATTGAAGACCACTTCCAGTGCGGATTCGACGACTAATGTGAAACCGAAATCGACGGCCGCTCCCACTGCTGCCACTTCGTCCGTCGTTGAGACGATTGCGGATAAAGCATCAAGCACTGAGGCAGCCATCTCCAAGACCGCGCAGTCGGCAACTCCGCAGTCGATCTCCCAAACGTCGGCTGATGTCAAAACGTCTGCCATTGTTTCGAGCACTGCCGAGATCTCCGTATCTAGCGACGCAGCCTCGGCCTCGGCCCTAGGTCCGAGCTCTGATGCGGCCACCAGCACTACCAGCAGTGTTGTAGCATCCTCTGCGGCGATCACAACTGTGGCCCCGACTAGCGTGGCTGCTAGTGCGTCGAATGCTGCTCAGCCCAGCTCGAGCTCGGTTGCAACATCTGTCACCCTGTCTGCAGCTGCCACCAGTCAGTCTGCCACGACTCACAGCCACCATGGGCAGAGCAGCCAGGGGATTGCTGCACCGTCCGGTTCCGCCCCGTCGACGACGTCCTCGGCTTCGGCTTTAAGCGTGGCAGCTACCGATTCGTCCAGCCCGTCCGTTCCGGTGGAGCAGCCGACTAGCAGTGTCATCATAGCTACTACGGCGACTGCCACCCAGTCGACCGACACGGCTGCTTCGGCGACCGCCGCTCCTCCGTCGACTATCACCGCTGGGAAGCCGCCTCACAAGGGCTCAAAGGGCAACAAGTCTGCGTCTGCCACCACTTTAGCTATCCAGACAACGGTGTCCGATGTCACGACTTCCGTTCCAGTCACGACTGCCCAGGTCGGAGGCTCTAATGGACAAGGCGACTCTTCGACCGCCGACGCAGCGACTGTGACAGTCCAAACAACAGCCGCTGCTGTTACCCCGACGGCTGCCTCGACCACGGCGCAGACGGTGGCTCCGCCTGTGACGACCACGTCCAAGGGGAAACCCAAGGGCGGAAAGGGCCCCAAGAGTTCGTCCACCGCCGCCGATGCAACCACCGCGGCAGTTCAAACGACGGCCACCGATCCCGGTGCGACCGCGACTGCGACGACTGCTGTGGTCACGGCTCAATCAGCAGCTCCGCCATCCACGACGGCCACAGACAACTCTCCGCCGAGCGACGGTGGCCAAAACGGCAAGGGGAACTCGAATGGGAGCGGGAAAGGTGTCAAAACTTCGTCGACAGCCGATGCGGCGACGGCGACTGTGCAGACGACTCCCGGTGCAACTGTTACCGCGGCGGAGCCCCCGACGACTTTGGCTGATACCTCCACGGCTGTGGCTGCCACTTCGACGACTGCTGCTGCTCCCGTCCAAACGGGTAAAGGCACCGCCGCTGGAAGTAAAGGACAGGGCAAGGACAACAATTCTTCGTCCACAAGTGAGGCTACGGCAGCTGTTGCCACCGATAGCGTTTCTCCCCCCACTACCCAAACAGTGATCGCCACGACCAAGGGTAAAACGACTGTTGCGACCGCCACGGATGCCGCGAATGCTGCGACTGCGACCGATGCCGCGGGTGTGAATACTGCGACGACTCGGGCCAAGGCCAACACGAACGGTGTGGTCACTGCGGCGGAGACGACGGTCGTCGCCGTATCTATCCCGCCGCCAGCAGCGACGACGGATCTCACAAATCAGGGTGCGGGCGTGTCTTTGGCGGCTACTTCGGCTGAAGCTGTGCAAACTACGGCGACAGTCGCAGCCACTAGCCAGGCCGCGACGGCTACCGAGGCTCTGTGAGTGACATCATTGTGAGGGAGCGTCGTCGGCCAACTAAGTGCTTCTCAGTGCGACGGCTACACGGACTGTTTCTCAGCTGGCGGGTGCCAAGTGCGTTTCCTTGTTTCTTTGTTTCCTGCATCCCCTCAACGTTTGCAGGGTTCTTGGGCACGACGCCGAGCCGACGGACAGCGTCACGACGCTCTTCAGCCCGAGTTTGACGACGATCATATCCTCCGAGGCTACGGTGATTACGTCCGGTGGAATCACGCTGTCGGCCACCGTGCCCGTCACTCTGACGTCGTCCACCTTGGTTCCTGTAGCCACTTCCACTTTCCGTGTTGGCCCGGGCGCCACTTCTGCGCCTTCCCAGGCTAAGTAAGTTTACACCACCTTCTCACACCTTGGCTATTTTTTTTACCTTCGCTTACAGCGCCAGTGCCAGCAAAATGCCAGCGATGATCGGTGGCATCGTCGGCGGTGTGGTGCTGTCGGTCGCAGCCATCCTCCTGATCCTTTGCGTCCGCAAACGCCGCCGTAGTCGAGCTTTGTATCTTGGCTCCCGGCCCGATTCTCCCTTCCGAGATCTCGAGGCTTCGGCCCCGGGCCATCCGGGCGAACCGGCCTTCTCGATGGTGGCTCCGCCTGTCGCTTCTCCGTTCAATGCGCCCAAGCCCTTCGACATCACTGACACGACCCAGGTGGAGGGCGCCAAACCCGTGACGTTCAGCTTGGCAGTCGACCCTCCGTCCGGCCCCGACACTCAAGAACCGATGGCCTGGGACTCCAACACGTTCGCCCGCTCCCTCGCGAGCAAAGATCCCCAATGGGCCTCTACCATGGCGCCATCTGATCCGTTTGCCGATCCGGTCAACCCGTTCGCTGATCCCGGTCCTTCGGTCCGGGTGTCTCAGATGCCAGTGACGCCCAAGCATCTGCGACTGTCAACGACATCGTCGGCGCTGGCCAAAGACGACAACCGCACCAGCACCGCCAGCAATGGCACTATTTATTTCGAAGGACTCGCTATGTGATGGGTTATTTATATCTAGGTTACAGTACTTACATATCCGCTGTGTTGCACACAAGTAATTGCCAATGCTCGTGTGATTTCGTTGCACAATCCTCTTCTCCTCCTTCTAAACGCGATCGCGCTGTCTTGTAGACATCTCCGCCAGCCAGATCTGATGCGGCGCATGTCGCACCTCCGGGTCCTCCTCGTAGCCCGAGCCTGACATCCCGTGGTCATAAGGCTGGGGCTGAAACAGTCGCCCTCTTGTTCGCCAGTCGAGCCAAAAGTCCAACATTCCGATCGCGAGCACGACACCCGTCATCCACGAAAACGCCAGGCGCCACGGATCGTCCGTCCGCCCCGCGATCAGCGCCAGAAGGTCGAGGAAGATGCAGATGCCGAGGGTGGGATCCGGGCCAGAAGCGCACGTCTGTCACAGAGCAGCAGCAGCAGCCTGATCAGTATCGTAGTACCGCGAGAACGCCGAGCGCCTGGAACGCACAATAAGGACCAGCAGCACCCCGCAGTGCGCTTGCTGTTGGATGCGCGGCCGACCGGCGCCGATGGACAGCATGCCCCAGGTCAGCCACAGCGCATGCAGCACGGACACCCCTGCGTTCGTCTTTGCGACCAAATGCGTCGTGCGGTTGGCCCTCGTCAGCGGGTAGCCTCCGGACGGGCGCAGGACGATCAGCGCAAAGGCGAGTTGCATTGTACAGTTGCACAATACGAGGCTCTGGGACAGCAGGATGTGATTGCTGAGCATCCCCGCCACAAACGATGCGCCTGTAAGAAAAATAACAGTCAGCAGGCACCCCGACCCACAACGCCGAGTTGTGGCACGTACCGACAAGGAGGTTCCCGCCGATGTAGAAAGGAGCATACACCATCTGTGTCGGCTCGCAGAGAGATTCAGCCTGCGCTACCGGCATGGCGTCGAAGGCCGCTCCACCATCACTTATGTTATTTTCCTCTACCTCCCAGAACACCTCGGTCTCGGGCGTTTCGCGCCGCCGCGTCCTTCCTCCTTGATAGCGACTGGCGCTCTGTCCCGCTGAAGGATACATCCGCCGCAGCCAGTATAGCTGGACACCGACCTGCGAGAGGAAGAGCGCAGCGAGGAAATATGGGTGCGGCGCGTAGGGCGAGTACCTGGCGTTGGCCTCGCCGAGTCTCTGTACGATCGAGGAAGCGGAGGCAGACCCGACGGGGGCGAGGGCGTCGAGGAGCGCGCGCGCCTGTGCGACCGTGGAGAAGACGAAGGATGAGGCGGCGAGTGCACGCAGTCGGGATAGGCGGCTCATGCTCGGTTGGATGAGAGGGACGGCGTCGGAGGGCTGCTGAGTGACATTGACAAGGTCGATCGATTACGCAGCGCCCCTATCGATTCTCACAGGCTCACAACGGCCCAAGCTTGTCCATCCATACAAGGTCGTCTGCGTCCATCTACCAAGTCCTGGAGAGGGCATTGAGAACAAGACGCGGGATAGAAGGAGAGTGTAAAGAGTCTCACTCGGGCTGTGAACGCTGATTCTCAGCCGCCATTTCGGATCAATTGCTTCTTTGGGTAAGGAAGTTCCCATATTGGGAATACTTCTGCCACGCTTGCAGTCGCGAGGCTTCATCCTCCAGACTAATCTAGACTAGCAGGTGCACAACTCTAGAGGCTGCTGGACTCACTCCAAGCTCTACCTAATAGGCTCCGGAATCACGCAAATAGGATTCGCAGTCGCAATTACCTGCTCGATACGTGATGAATGGACGAGTGTCGACTGGGAACATAGTACAAGCGTCATCGATAATTAAGATCAACAGAGAAGGACAAGTAAAAGCCTGAACTCCCCCGGGCCCCTTGTGGGACCACCAGCGCTCCAGGCCCAGCGCAAGTGTGTGCGCGCCGGCAATCCAGAGGAAGCCTGGGAAGCCCCAACCCACCTGGGAACCAGGGTGCCCGCATCCCATTGTTGTCCCCATGGGCAAGCAAAAATTCCGCAGACATTCGGGCGGAGCTTAAAGTGAACACAATGGCTTCCAGGAGTGAGTTTACATCATCTATCAAGCGGAAGGATCCAAGCTGCATCCCCATCAAGCTGCGATAACTGACTGCCAACTTGGATGAACGCAACACTCAGGACGATGGTATGTTCCTGGATTGCCAATGACTCAAATTTCGAAAGCCTGTCAGCGCTTGTGCTTGCTGGGCCAGGGCAAGCCAGACTTCGGCTGCAAAAACCCTCCCGCCCGTGGCGTGGCAGGGAAAAAATGGAGACCGGCGCCCCCGGTGATACGCATAAAAAGCGTGGCCCCGGGGTTCATTCAATGCGAAACAATTATTTGCAGCGAGCCTTGGCGAGCTCCGGCACTACCAAGTCGCCAAGCATCGTGGCCAGTGGCATCAGTCACAGGTGACACAAAAAACGAATTGGCTAATTGTCGGCTGGAGTCGGACTTGGTTTCGCGTAAGTGGCTATGCGTGGTGTGGATGGGTTGCGAACTGTGACACGCATCTACATATGTATGTCTTCCACCACATGTCACCAACATGGAGCTCCGGCGGACCGTTCGAGTCCCGGCTCGCAACAGGAAAAATGTTGGTTGATCTTGCCAAAAAAAACGTCAGTTTTATCAGATTCTGAGCTGCAAGCTCAAGCTCATGGCCGCAAATGGGCGGACACACGTTTCGATTCAGAGGTTGTTGGACGTGGATCAGGGGCCGGGTGTAGGACGGTTGGAGTTTGCTGGTACTACCATTCAGCGAGGTAGACTGGGGATTCGAGAACGCTCGCGACTTGCACGTCCACACCGTGCGCCACAAAAGAGTCTAAGAGCCAATTAGAAATCGCCGGAACGCTCAATCCGCGTTAGGGGCGCATTTCTTCTAGCTGACAGCCCGCTGGCCACAGGCAGCATCCGTCGTCGATGATTTGGTCACCCCAAGCCCGTCAGCGAGTTTGCGAGATCAGGCTTGGAAGGGCGGCATGCCCGCGAATACCGCGCCCAATGAATGCGCAGGCGCGACGGTTACGTGGTGGTCGCGCAAATGGGGCTTGTCATGAAAGGGCCATTGTTTGTGAAAACACGAGAAGAACGGACTAGGCTACCCGTACTGTCGCTATTGGACGCGTATCGCGCGAGGCTGCGGCCGAATGGAGAACATGAGACGCGGTTACACCCCTTGTGGTCGTTTCGTAAACACAAATGGCAATCATGGAATGGAGCTGCCCCACAGCGCAACCGTGACCGCAGGGCCATCCCTGTGAGCATGAGTTCATCGATCAAGTGGGCGGTGAAATGGAGAACACAGTCTGACGGCCTGTTGATGACCCTCTCCATTCCCTTTGTTCCCGGTGGCAGGCAACGGGACGAGATGGATACGCGCTAACGAGATCGCCGCCGTCAAGGTTGCCGAGGAGAAGGAGCATGCGATCGATTCTCACGATGTCTTTTTTGGCGGTTCTGCAATTGTCTGACTTGTGCGCTGACTCGAGGCGTGCCATGCACTGGTTCAACCGATTTGGAGTATAGTCGGAGGTAGTTATGAGGTATGTTTCTACCCGCTATAAGTATCGGACTTCATTTCCCTCAATTCCTTCCGTCTTTCCCCCTTCATCATGACCTCCCTATTTTCCCTTTCTCCTCGCGCACTTCGCGACCTTTTGCTTGCCTTCTTTCGCCCAACGAACATTGACGATACCTCCCGTCCAGTGCAGCGACTACCTCCAGCCTACTCTCGCACACCTCGCTTACCCCTCGAACTCGTGCTATGCATTATGGAAGACGCATCTGACGGCGAAGGCTTCGAACATGCCGCACTGCTCCGTCAGTGCGCGTTGGTATGCCGGGACTGGTCACTCCCCGCTCAAAAGCTACTATTCCGCACCGTGCATCTGGTCACCGAGGACGCCTGTGCCTCCTTCCTCTCCGCAGTGCACCCGCGCACGGCAGCAGGCCGTGTGTTGGGCGAGTCTGTCACTCAGCTAAGGGTCGTGTTGGACTATAATCAACCCAAGGGTCTTTCCGAGACTTCCTTCGCGCACGCGGTTTGCGCGTGCCCGAATCTTCTCAGCCTCGACCTCTCTGTCTACGGGTCGACATTTCCAGGAAAGGAATCTACCGGTGTTGCCGACGTGTTACGTGTGCGGCGCTCATCACCTTCGTTCGAGGAGAAAACTCTCGAGTGCCTCAAGGCAGGACCTCGCATTCGCGCATTACAGCTTAGCAATTGGTCCGAGAACCACGAGTCCGTCTTGCGACTCTTTGAAGTGTGGCCAGAGTTGATCTCACTCGCTCTGAGCGGGTCCACGCCGACGGACGCACCGGGCTGCTGGCCGCCTTCTCAGCTGCGGGAGCTTCGCATGAACTTCCAGGCTTCGCCTTCCATCGATTTTGTCCAGTGGCTTCTACAAGATTCTGTCCTCGACGTGCTCGAGCTGACGCGCGACGTCTCCCCAGAGGTGATGGACTTTCTGCTCGACACGCAGGGCCAGACACTACACTCATTGGCACTGCCTGCCTGTTCGACTGCTGTGCAAGTGCAGACGGTGCAACGCTGCCCTGATCTGCGTTCGTTGAGGACTGATCAGCCGCGGGCAGCGGCAGTGCTCTTCAAACCTGGCTACTTCCCATCTGGGCTGCGACGCATCGCACTGGCACTGGATCATGACGGGACGTTTCTGCAACCGTTGCTCGATGTTGTTCGATTGAGAAGGGGGGAACTGCGGGCATCACGCTCCGGATGTGGAATGGGGCTGAACGCAACCCGCACTTGTCGGCGCTCAAGCTGGTCTGCGCGTATCATGGCATTGAGCTGGAGATGATCAGAGATGCTCGGGTCTTTCGTGCGGCCATGGTGCGTGGTTTGACTGAAGCCTTTTTTACTCTTTGCTGACACAAGTTTACGCAGAGGAACGGTTTCGATGCCACTGATGCATGGAATCGAGCCAGTCTAGACCATTAGTCCATGGCCTGCCTTCTTCTACCAAGTTCACGATCTCTCACGACCCCCTCACGCGCCATTGTACATCACCCCACATCCATCTGAGCTTCCAGTACCTCATCCTATCTCGATCCCATTCTATGGAACCGGACAACCTACTATTTGCTTTATTCCCATTAATCTCTGATTTAATGCTTCTATGACTTTTCGACACTTCGAATAGTCAACGGATCTGTACAACATGCCCATAGATTAGATAGCCCAGCTGCTTGATAGTTACCCAGCAATTGCTTGAATAAACGATTGTTTACAGATCTGCATTTGGGAAGTTTGATGGGCTGATGCGAAGCGACAACCGCCGTAGAACTAACTATGAGTACTATATTCAAGGCTCACAGTCATAACCTAGAGACATCTCCAAGACACTTCAGCCACAAGTCCTAAAATTGAAATTCTTATTATCAGCCACACGGCAGGCCCAATAGAGGTGGAAACGGGCGGCATGGAAAAATCAGAAAACCAGTCCAGACATGTCTTGTACTCATAATTGCAACCTAGAGAGCGGCCGTCCCAACTCATGAATCGCACTTGTTTCCGTTGAGAACGCGAGAGCGCAGAGCGCGCGCGATGTCACGGAGCCTAATGGACCGCATAGCCACCTTGAGTAGATGCTCCCAAACAAGACACGCTGCGCAGGTTACCACGACCAACATGTCCACTCTTTCCTCGGTAGTGGCCGAGCTTGTTCGCGCCTCGATGGGGAACTCCGTCCCGCAACAAGTCACAGACGATGATCTCGACCGCCACGTCGCCGAGCTCATTCTCAAAGAGGCCAAGAAGAAGGCAGAGCGATTCGGACAGGATGGAATCAAAGCGTACTTGCGTAGCGGGATGTAGGTTCCGTGCAATACAACGAGAGGGTGTTTCAATGACTCATCTGTCTCTCTCAGCTCGGATAGCAGCGCTCCGCGCACGAACAAACGATTCCTGACATCCATCATACGAAGCACAGACGACCACAATAGAACTATTCTACAGGCACAAGCGCAAGCGGCGCAGGAACTGAAGCGCGAGAGAGACGAGCTCGAGAGGCGCGAGCGGCGGGCGCGAGCGGAAGAGGCGGTTGCAGCCGAGAAGATGCGGCGGTCGCATGGCAGTCGAAGCGGGGGCAGCCGGAGTCACCGAAAACGCGAGGAGAAGGATGGGTGGGACCACTGGGATGGCCGCACAGCTGAGCGGGCCAAGAGAAAACCACGAAACTGGGAAACATGGGATGGTGAGGACGAGGACGAGGACAAGAAACGTCGGGACGAGGGACAGGAACGGAAGGGGATAGAGACCACCGGCCGAGTCGGCGGCGGTCAAGGTCGACAGATCATCGACACAGGGACGACGACAAACACACTGCATCCAAGCACCGTCGCGACCGCTCTCAGTCTCGTGATCGCGGCGAGGGCAGCAGTTCGCGTCGGCACCGGGACGAAAAGCGGTCTAGTCGCAAGTCCCGGCATCGATCGCGCAGCGGAATCTGGATGATGAGAAGGAGGCGGGGACTTCTGCAAGCGGAAAGGATCACCGCGACGGTTCACCTTCCATGTCATCGTCCACTGAAGCTGCGAACGGAAACGAGTCTCGCTCTGGGAAACGGAGACGCTCACCTTCTCCTGGTCCATGGAGACAAATGCTGCTTCATTCGTAGATGCTGTCTCTCACGAAGACGTGCTGCGGAAACGATTGAAGACGTCTGTAGACGACACGACGGTCAAGAAGCAGGAGGACCCCCAGGTCAAGAAGCAGGAAGATTCGCAGGGAAAAAGACGGATAAAACGGTAAAAAGGAAGATACCAAGGGCAAGCATAAAGTGCCGTTTGACGGGCGCCCTCCTGAACCGAAAGCACCGCCGCCTCCTCCACCGCCATCATTTCCTCCGCCAGCGAGGTCTAAGCGTGAAAGCAAGCGCCGAAGACTTTCGTCCTCGCCCTCACCAGGACCCGAGCCTGCTGCGCAGCTGCCGTCGAAGATGGACAAGTATTTCGAGGAGTCGTATGATCCGCGGCTAGATGTGGCGCCGTGACGGCACCGAAAGTGCCTGCAACTGGGATGATCAACAATGCCGAATACGATGGTTGGGATGCGATGCTAGCATTGCTGCGGCAGCGAGAGCAGGATAAAGCGGAGCAAAAGATGATGGAACGGCTCGGGGCGAAGAGCGGTAGCAGCAGCAGTAAGACCAAGTTCACGTCGAGTGAAGTGGGCGAGCGCTGGACGGGAGGTAATGCGAGTGTGATGGAGATTGAGTACGACAAACCAGGCTCGGTGCGCGAATGGGATTTGGGCAAGGACTTGAGTTTCTAGCAGGCTTATGATAGAATTCCGGTGTAGGATAGATATATATTTAGTGTACATTTACTAGTGGAGGTATCATGGGAAACAATTCGGCGGATGACAAACATTTCTCCTGCGCTCATCTGGTCGACAATACTGCTAAAGTTGTTTGTGTTGCGCGCGGCGCATTCGCGGAAGAACGAGAGCAGATGTGCCTGCAGAAGTCAGGGGTGGCTGTAATATTCAATTGAAACAAATGCTTGCCTGCATGTCCATAGTGGAAACAGGATCTTGCTGGAGATCCTCGTCGTCATCGCCC